CATTGACCCATTCCCGTACAAACTATGAGGTACCTTTGTTTTCACATTGATGTTTTGACCAAATTTTATGTTCAGACTATTTATCAAACAAAAAAAAAAATTATGTTCAGACAGACAGGCTAACAACTATGGTTCTACATAAAATGCCTTGCAACACCTAAGGACTTTTATACCGAAGCTTCTCTCTCTCTCTCTCAAGACACACGGTTGTAAACCCACATAATGGAGGAAAACGGTTCACAGGTGAACCCCTGGGCCAACGGAGAGTCAAACCCGGTTCATGTTCAGCAACCCAAGAGGCTCGGTGGTGACCGACCCAAACTCTCGAGTAGGGTCGGCGAGAAGTTTGGGAAATCCAAAGCCATGGCTTCCACAGGCATGCAGAAAGTTAAGGAAGGAGCAACTGTTGGTGTTAAATGGATCAAAGTCAAATACCAAAGCAGCAAACTTGCCCAGAAGAAATGATACGAAGCCCATTTCAGAAGAAGGTCTCTTCTTTGCCTTTGGTCAGCCGTTTGTCAGGAATATCATAGGTGGTTTTAGATTGAGTATTCGATTTTGGGTATATTTACCTTTTTTTTTTTTTTTCCTTTTGGGTACAAGGCTATATTTTTAGTTGATTCTTTTATCTGTAAAGACTATCATGTTCATTGAGGGGGTTTTAAATTAATGAGGTGATTTTATGTTCTTAATTGTTTCTTAGTTGTTTGATTGTTGCTCTAAATTCTGTTGAGATGGACGAAAATATCCCAATAAACACACAATGGAGACAACTAATAAAAGAACAAAATTTTTATTCATTCAATCCAAAGTTTGGTTATAGAAAATATTGGTTAATAATCTTAAATGCAGCAGTAATTATTTTTTAAAATTAACTTAAAATTATTCTTAAAAATGCTCAAATCATGGGTTTTGTGAATTTTTGAGTGTCCTTTTCATCTTTTTTACTATGTCTTTTTATAGTCGCTTTCCACAATTTTTATTTCCAATCAATTACTATCCTTTTTTTAAAAAATACGCTAGTGGTTAATCATCTTTTGCCTTTTTGAATTTAGGCCATGTGACACATTCTTGGTGTATCCAGATTGCTATATCCCGATATATTGAATATTCATAAGATCTGATATATCATGTCTAAACAGTGATACAATCTCTTAGGTAGGGGTGTCTATAGGCCAAGTTACTCACAGGTCTCCTTATTCAACCCGAAAAAAATAGGTTTGATAGTTGGCCCGCCCGAGCGCGAGCCCAATATTTTTAATAAAGGACTTGAGTTTGTCCTCAAACTCATTATCTGGCCCGAAGTCCTACCTAAGAGCCTGCCCACCAAGCCCAATCCGCCCACATAGCCCACCCACCATTTCTTTGAAAAAAAGTTATACTTTTAAACTATTAAAATAAAGTCTAACAATATTGAAATTTGAAGTTTTAAAAATTTAGATACTATAAATAATGTTTTATTTTATTTTTTATGTATTAAGTATACACGTTTTAAATGGTAGAGTATTGCAAATGATAGATAAGTAAGTATATGTCAAAAATAAAATTATTCCCTAATTAGATGTAGTTCATTCTCTAATTAAAAATAAAATTGTTCATTATTTTATTTTTATCCATTTTGATTATATTTTTTATTCAAAAATATAATTTACACAAATATTAAATTACAAAAATATTCATTATTTTTAAATGCAGTTGTATATAAAAAAGTCCGTGAGCAGACTCGCCCAACAATCTAGCCTAATAGGTTCATGGGTTGAACTGCAGGTAGCTTATCCCTATACGAATTTCGGCCCGACCCGTCCGATAACTCACTTGGGTATGCACTTGGGCCTATACTACTCAGGTCAGACTCGAAAAAAAATTCGTGGGCCTAGTCTAGCCCATGAACACCCCTACCATTAGGGTGTGTTTGAATGTCTCGAAAGGATTGAATAGAATATCTAATTTGTGTTCATTCCTATCCATGCCCAACCTAATCACCCACTTGCAGGGGTTGGATGTAAGGATGCAGTGGATCGGGTTAAAATGGGTTTTTGTCTAAATCTATTGCGTTTGGATCGAAGATGGATTATACGTATTGGACGGTGGACGTATACAGGGATACCCGTATAAATCCGTGCAGGAATGGACCGACACTTATCCCCACCCTGCTTTGTCCTGCTTCCCCTCGCCTCGTTTTTCCCGTTATTATTATTATTATTATTATATATAAAAGTAACAAACCCAGAAAACCTTATAATCATAAGACTTATAAGAAAAAATCCAGGGAAAAAGATAGTAAAAATGAAACAGGTATTAAATGTTATAACTGTGGCAAAAAAAGGTCATAAAAGCCTAGATTGTCCAGTTAAAAAACAAGTAAAAAGATTAAATTTAACCCAAGAAGATGAAGAGAAAATTCTTAACATTTTTAGGTTCAACAATTTTCCCAATAGTGAAGAAGGTTCAGATAACTCAAGTAGCTCTGAAAGTTCTTCAGATTATCATTCAGTATCTAGTAACTCTAGTGAACCTAAAATTAAAATAGGTTGCAAAGATAGTTGCCTCTGTAAAACTGTTAGGGTAATAACCAAACAGAATGATGAAGAACATATTCTAATAGATTTAATTAGTAAAATTGAAGACCAAGATTTAAAAGTCAAATATATCAAAAAATTAAGAGATTTGTTTGCTAAAAAAGACACATATATACATGTTACTGTGAATATAAATCTACATATTATTGTGAATATAAATCTACATATTATTGAATGATTTTTCTTTTAAAAATTATTTTATTTTTTAATTTTTTTTCATGATTTTGGATTGTAAAAGTATAGATCTTTGTGTTTTTATATTTTTTTTATGTTGGATTAAGTTATGTTACATTATATTGTGCTGCATGATATTGTGTTGAATTTACAAGAGAGAAAAACTTTTAATTATATTATGTTGGATTATGTTGTAGACAATGTTTAAATTATATTATGTTATAAATGACAAACTTATAATTAAGTTATAATATTCTATAATTATGTTGAATTATTTAGAATGTTAGATTTATTCAAAATTTTAGATTATGTTGGTTTGGACTTGGAATTGGGCATGGGCTTGGGCGGGTAAGGTGGACAGGGGGTGGGGGCGGAGGTGAAGGTAGGAGACGTGGCGGGGGCTGGGATTATAAATTTATTTGCAAAAGAGAATGAAGATAAAAACTATACCTGTTAACGGAATAAATCGAGGATGGACGAAATTTTTTTAAGTGGGCACGAGAAAGGACACTATACCTCCTGCCTCTGCTTCAGTTCACTGTCAATCCTAGTCGGATGTAATGTAATATCCTGTCATATTTAATGTTTGGCAAGTAATTTTTCATTTTTGTGAGGCTCACAATCATGAGTTGCTATTTGACTATTCTATTATTAACCTATCTAATCCCAAATTTGACTAAAACTCATCCTAACAAATATATATGTGTGCGCGCGTATATATATAAAATAAGACAGTTTTAATAAATTCATCTGACGATCTCCTATAGATTTATCTAACGATCATTAACATTATTTTTAAAATCATTCACATTATACTGTACTTAAACATTCATATTACACTGTAACTTCATGTACAAGTTATCCCTCATATATATATACACACCAACTTAGGAAAATTAAAACAAAATACCAACACAAGAAAATAGATTAAAAAAAAGGATTTCCCGTTACTAACGCTCTGATTTAGACATCCTCCGGCGCAATGGTGACCGACTTGCTGTACAAAATTTCTAAAATATTTTTTATCAACAATACAAAATTATCTTCTTTGTTGGTCTTCTAAAATCAGAAACAATAACCAAAGTATTTTTCAACATCACCACAGTAAGGTCGACAGTGGTGTCGATCATTTCTTGAGGTAGAGCTCAAGTCGGTCTCTCCATGGAATCACCGATGAAGATGTTGATGAATCGAACCGAAGCTCTCAAGTTAATGTGTTTTCTGTTGATGATTCTTTAGGAGAAGTTTGTTTATTTTCTCTATCCATGGTGGAGTTGCAGGACGGAGAGAGAGAGGTTAGAGTTTTGCACAAAAACCAGAGGTAAAAACAAGAAAAAGACGGGCAGAATGATAATTGCAAAACCAATCCTATCTGGTAGAATTTTAACCCACCACCCAGGTTGGTTATAAATAACCCATGTAGTCATGTTTAAATGATCTGTAGATTGCGAGCTATCGGGCTGTCCAACCGTCAAATTCACTTCCCAAACATGATATAAATGGGCCCCATTAGTTTTTATCTTATCCTCCATGTGATAACCCCCATTAACCCACGATCCAAACACCCTTTTAGCCTTGTTTGGACGAATTTTGAGAAAGGATTTGGATTGAGTTCTCCAAATCCTTCTAAACCCAAATCTCTTTTTGTAAAAATGAGATTCAATATTCAATTCGGTTCATATCCATATTTGATATGCAACATATACACGTACAGAACCCACGAATATATCATAAGTATTAACAATTATTTGTCATATAAATAACTATTTTACTCTTGATTAATCCAATTCATACACATGTTAAAGGGTATAATTATCTTTTAGATCTTTAACCCCTTACCCATCTTTTCAAATTCACCCCTCTCTTAAGTTTGACAAAATTCATGATCATGAGTTTAATCTTCGGGCAAGTTATGAGTCGGATTTGAAAACTCGAAACTGAATTTTCAAATCAAAGATGGGATATGTGAGTCCTTTGGACTATTTTCTCCAAATCCATCTTACCAAGCCCCCGTACCCTCTTACCGAACTGCCCCTTAGTGTTGTTCTTGATTGAACTGAGACAAAAAGATTCATTCAAGGGGTCTACCCTGGGAGTGTGCATCCAAAACAATCAACATTAATAGAGACATTAAAGGAAAGGGACAGATTCCTTTGCCCAGAAAACAACAAATGAAAAGGCCTCAAAATTTGCCTTGAAAGGAGGACTGTGATGGCTTATCTTCTCCCCAAAAGCTTAGCAAGATTACATCAATCTTCACTTGCACTACTTCTTTACAATAGTATTGTGTTGTATGAATACAATGAAATTGGGTCTTGAAAGAGGTTAGAGAGAGGTTGGTGGGTCTAATATTATTGCTTAAAGTTTTCCTTCAATTCCACACATGTATTGTGAATTTACATAGGACACACTATATGTAATTGGGTGTCTAACACCGATACACGATGGGTGATCTGAGGAGAAAATTGTATGAAAGAACCTAAATCCTCTTCTAAGGATGTCATAATCTCTGTATTGAAACTACTGCTACTACTACAAGATGGGTATGCCTGATATTAAACTGAGCTCTGGCTGCAGGGGAATGCCTGTATTGGGCTTAGGCACAGCAGCCGATCCCCCTGTAGACTCGCAAACTATTTATCAGGCAGTCTCACTGGCGATTGAGCTCGGTTACAGGCATTTTGATACAGCTGCACTGTACAATTCAGAACAGCCAACTGGGGAAGCTATGGCAGCAGCACTTCAGTGTGGCATTATTAAATCACGAGACGAGCTCTTCATCACCTCCAAGCTATGGTGCAGTGATTCTCATGGCGAACATGTTCTTCCTGCCATTCAAAAGACCTTAAAGTAACACAGATTTCCATCTATATTGCCTTAATTCTGAAAGTTTATCGTTCATCATTTTCTAGTAGCATACATTGGATAGTCTAATGTTGACCTTTACAGGAATCTTAATGTAGATTATATTGATCTGTATCTCATACATTGGCCTGTGAGTTCAACGCCAGGGAACTATGAGTACCCAATTAAGAAAGAGGACTTTCTTCCCATGGATTATAAGTCTGTGTGGGCGGCCATGGAAGAGTGCCAGAGACTTGGCCTCACCAAGTCCATTGGTGTTAGCAATTTCTCTTGCAAGAAGCTCTCTGATGTCCTTGCAGTCGCGAAAATTCCCCCAGCTGTTAATCAAGTGAGTTTTGGCTATTTTCCCCATTCTTGTTTTGTCTGAATGAAAGGAATGGTAGTGAAGCTGTTCATTTTGAAAGGTGGAAGTGAACCCATGTTGGCAACAAAAGAAGCTGAGAGAGTTATGTAAAGACAATGGAGTTCTTGTAGTGGCTTATGCTGTTTTGGGAGCTGTAGGAACCTTTTATGGCACCAACAGAGTTATGGAGAGTGAGGTGCTAAAGGAAATTGCAAAGGCTAGAGGAAAGACTGTTCCTCAGGTGCACCCAACATTGTCTTTGCTTTTTTTACTTTGCTTCAACTGTTCACATCAAGAGGTGAGGATGATAATTCCCGCCTTGGTAGCTTAAGTGGTAATAGAGAAAAATTATAAACCCATACGTTTTGAATTTGAATTTAGCAATCCCTTTGGGCCAAGTCACGAGGGATTTAACCCTCTTGAATATTCTAGTCCCTGTGTGTATTACTTTAACCAAACCAGAAAGGAGATTATTCGAGTTGCACAGAAGTTAGTCTGGACACCTTTTACTATTAAACTAAAAAAAAAAAATCGGGTCATGTTATTTCAAAAATCGTTCACAACTCGTATAATACTAGATCAAAAATGAAGAACATACAAAAAGAAAATCAGAAATTTTCTTTGTACAATACCATCAAATGAGATTGTCATGACGAAATCGATTATTCCTAAGTGAAACTAGTCCGATCGGTTTATTATTCGTGATAGTCGATTATGTCCTTTTTGGATTCGGGTCGTCTTGAAAATTATCACCTTTCATTAACAGAAGCTCAATACTTGGTTTCAATGCAGATTTGTCTGAGATGGGCTCACGAGCAAGGCCTTGGTGTATTGGTGAAGAGTTTCAACAAAGAGAGAATGAAGCAGAACCTTGAGATATTCAATTGGGCATTGAGTGAGGATGAGTTTAGAAAGATCAGTGAAATCCCACAAAGCAGAGCATGTCTTGGTAAGGATTACACCTCTGTTCATGGACCTTACAATACAATTGAGGAGCTTTGGGATGGAGAACTTTGATCAGACTGCTTGTAGTTGATGCTTACTTAAAGGTGCCCCTCTACAATACAGGCCTTTTCTAGTTCCTCTTGTTAAAAAAAAAGCATACTGAGTACACGAGACTCTCGTCATTACAGAGTTTGGGGAGGAATAAATGTACGCAGCTGTACCATCCTCTTGTACTGGTTCCTAATTTTACTTTTATGATAGAGGAGTGCGTTTTTGGCATTTTCTCAAAGTGAGTGTGAAGTTCGTTTCAATAGCAGTATGATGAGAATTGTGCGAGTAAGATTCAATTGCATTGCGACAAACTTCAAAATCTCGTCTCAGATGTAATAAAGCGAATGATTTAAGTAAATCTTGATTACACGATTCTCGTCTTCATCTGTATATTTCTTGTTTTTGTCTTCTTTTATATTGTGCTTGGCACTTATTCCATCCGTGGCCATCACCACTGTGACCACGCCTACAATTTAAAGGGTCGTTACCCTACATAAATGACAAGTGGTTGCATCATACTAACAACATATGAACGCAGTGACTTCACTCACAATGATTGATTTTTTTTTTTTTGGTTCAACGGTTGGAGGTGTTTGAATTAACTTATATTCACTTCGACTAATTCACTCTTCGGTTCAGTCAAAAAGTTGTTAAGATACGCTCACAATGATTGATTACGATCACTATCTGTATATTACTTGTTTGAAATATTAGGAAAAAGGGTAAATGACATAAATTACCCTCAAACTAAAACCTCAACCTTCAAATACTCTCTTACTTTCAATTAACTTTAATTTATAACATGAAATTTCATTTCACAAATCCTTTAAATTGGTTCTTGTTATCCATTTCAGGCATTAAATTCTCATTGTCACATTTGAATCCCTCTTTTTTTTAGATAATGTTGCTTCTTCAAATGCGAGAATGAGTGATAGATCGTTGAGATTTTATATTCATATTCTAACTCTAATAGTAGTATGTGAACCATCTATTTGATGATGATATCCGGGACGATGATGACGCGGTATTCCATTACTTCAAATATTTCCTCAATGAGTAGATTCCAAATCAGATGTGTACGCCCCCAAAGGAAGACCAAAAGTGATCTGTCTAAAAATGAGAATGAAAGAAATATCATGTGTATAAAGAACTATATATATTCTTCTCCCCAACTCAGAAATGGCTCTACATAGTATTCCGGTAGCAAGCCCAGTAGCACAAACAAGATGTCCAAATAAGAATATTCACAGTATTGTTTTGATCAATTAATGAAACTTGGTCGAAAAGTGTTCTTATATCAATAATCAGCTCGGGTAGACCTAGTTTGTGGTGTTATAGTTACATTTAAATGGCTCCTTCAATTATGTGCAAGGAATTTCCATACTGACTAACGGGCAGCGGGTTAGTCGCCAAAATAGCCCCTAGGTTAGGAATTTGTTAAAAAGATCTTGAGTATTGAGTTGTTGTTTTTAAGGATCTCGAGTATTGAGTTGACTAATGGAGGACTAGTTTATCTTAGCCTGTGGGCCTTTCAAGACAATTGAGGAGCTATGGGATGGAGGAGTTTGATGTTTCATTTGAAAAACCAATCAAATTCCAACTCAGTTTTAAACTTCTTGTGTAATAAATAAGGTGAGTTCGAGAAATGACTTGTCTTACGTATCTCAACTCATAAAAACATGTCTAAACTTGAGTTTCGACTCCAACACAAACTCTAGCTTAGTTCGTTTAATTTGCTCAGCCATGCCCGAGTTTCAAAAGAAAATGAATGAAGATCAGAGGTTTGAAGCTAAATCATGATCTTTTAATCGAGCACCTATAGATTAACACTCAGCTCAATTGGTTTTATTTACAGCCTTAATGGATAGGCTTTCATAGTTTCATATTTGCAATAAGTTGATATGTAACAAGAACTATTTGAATGGAATGGCTAAGCTTGCTTGACCTGTCTTCCAAAGTAAAAATCTCGTTAGCTTAATTAGAATATATTTTTATTAAAACATGAGTTGAATATTTTAAGAATTAAATTGACAAAATTATATAATGAGTGGATCAAACTTATAAAACATGCACGCTTTAATAACAAAAAATACTATTAATCCTAACAAATCAAAACTAACACCGAAGTTAGTGAATAAATCGGAGGGGATTATGTTCATGCTTTTAAATAACAAGCGAATGGAATGAACGTGAGAATGAAATAAACATAGTGGTGGAATTGAATATATGTTACCATTTCAATATTTTGCAACAATTAAGATTAAGTGTTGAAATAGAATTAAAAATTTACTCAAATAATTGGATAAATAAAAAATTTTAATAAATTAAATTTGACTAAAATACTCTTGATGACATTAAAATAATATAACCATTTTTTATATCCAACCTCTTAATCTCTAGCCAAATCTAACCTCGAATCCTAACTCGGGCTTGACCCTAGACCAGGAACCAACCCTGACTTGGACTTGACCCCAACCCTAGACTTCGGACCTAATCTCAAAGTCAACTTGATCTTAAGCCTGACATTGCGCTCAGACCTAGCCCCAAACCCTAAACCCTTGAACTATGAACTTGACCCTGAATCCAAAATCCAACCCTAGAGCTGATCTCGATCCCATACTCTGGATATAAACTCAAGCCAGACGTTGGAACCCGACCCTGGATCTGACCATGAACTTGGACCATAGGTGAAGAAGGGGGGGGGGGGTTGGTGGTGATGGTGGTTTGATAGGGAGAGTGACAATGAGGTATGGTAGTTAGGAATAGAAAATACCATTAAATATTAAAGAATGACAAGTTCTATAATGGTGGGATTAGGGATTCTATAATAATGGGAATGGATGTTCATTACTACGTACTAAATATAGAAATGAGTAATTTAAGAGTAATAGTTATTCAATTCTCATGTTTCATTATCATCTATCAAATGCAACGTTGAAATTATATATAACTAGATCAAGTCACATGAAATAAAATACATTTGGCATAAATGAAAAAAAAAAAAAAAAAAGCACACAAAATATAAGTCCAACCCACACAACATCACCCAAAAAATTGTGTAGGAGGGTCAGAGATTCTAGTTCGAGTACAAGAGAATGTATGAAATAAATGCATTGCCAAATTATGAATTCAAGGACTCAATCGTATGAATGTGTGTAAAATACAGAATTCAGCTTTGCCAAACTATGGGCGGAAGGGATCAGAGTTGATTTGGTATTTGTCTCTTTGTGCCCGGCAGTGCTTATAATTCATTCACAATACTCTTGACAGCACAATTCGGACTGTGTCATGATCCCGCTCATTCTTTGTTCTCATCCTTTGGGTGGGCCCCTGTGATTTTACTGCTTGTTCCGCCAATGATTTTGGAGAACATAAAATGAAGGATAAATTATATCTTAACCCTCTCAACTATAACCTTTTTCCATATTACTCCTTCCACTATCATATTCTTACATTTCATGTGTGTGTTGGTTAGTGTATATTGTTAGCGTAATGAACAAGATTGGTGATCCGGTGGCTATGGATTTAACCAATTTTGGAATTTTAATTTCTTGTTCGATTTTTTCCTTTTCTTTTTCATATTGAATTGGATGGTGATTAGGATCCAATGGTGTGGGGTGTGGTGTGTGGTTTGCCTTTTTTTAAATCCATAAAACAATCGATAAAAGATTGTGTTTAGGTCGGACTATGACATGATAGTGAGTTCAATAATTGATTTTGACTATATTTTATTTAACTACAAGTTTTAAGATATGATCATGAATTATACAATTCACATGCACAAGTTGTTATTTTTTGGGTGTCTTATTTATGGAGAAAACTCTAATTTTTTTCTTGAAAAATAGTGAGCCTAGATTGTTTTAAATTGTGTAATTAAATAAAAGAAATGAAATTATATTATTATTTGAAATATTTATATTACATCATCAATTTTAATTTTTTTGTGTGTTATATACAATACTTGTAGTAAAAATTTCAACGACACCCTCTCTAGTTTTTGAATCTTCAATGACACCCCTTCTAGTTTAATTTAAACATCACTAACACCCCTTACCATTAAAGTACAATTTCTAACAAAAATATTTCATCTAAAATACCAAAAATGCCCCTACATAACCTCAAATAATTTTTCTACATAAAATTTTATTAAAATTCGAGTTGTTAAAATTTTTAAAAAAATCATAAATAATAATTTTAGTAAATAATTTGTTAGTAAATACTAATTTATTATTTACTAATTAATAATTTTTTTTAAAAAAATTGAGCCTATTAAAATTTATTTTTTATATATTAAAATTTGAATTGATTTGAACTCTACTCGAGTTATTAGTGCCGACTAAAATTCTCTTTTAAGTAATTTAAAATTTATATTTTTTTACTTATTAAAATTCGTGTCAATTAAAATTTGATTTATTAAAATTTAAGTAAATTAAAATTCATATATTTTTATATATTAAAATTTGGGCTGATTAAAATTCAATGCGAATTAATTAAAATTTGATTTAAGTTAATTAAAAATAATTTTTAATTAGCTCAAACAAAATTTATATTGGCCCAAATTTTAATACGTAAAAAAATATAATTTTCAATTGGCACAAATTTTAATATGTAAAAAAATAAATTTTAATTAACTTGAATGAAATTTTAATCGGTTTGAATTTAATTACGTAAAAAAAATTAGAAAACAGAGGGGGTCTCATTGAAAATATACTTATCTAGAAGGGGTCTCATTGAAGATATGTTTATCTAGAGAGGGTGTAGATGAAGTTTGTCCTCAAATATATAATGATCAATTTAGTAATATTGTATTCTACTTAATATTTTTAATTTGACAGGGGGTGTTATTGAAGATTCAAAAACTAGAAAGGTTATAATTAAAATTTTCCCATACTTTTAAATACGAATTATTGCTAGTATTCTTACATTTCAACATCAACTATATTATTAGTTTCGCATTGTCCAAATTATCAGTTTCGTTAAAAAATTGACAAAAATTGTTTTATTTTGTCTTTCAAATTGTTTTGTTTTTCTTTGTGCCAACCACTTTGATAATTTTTGTTCAAAAGATAACGGATATTTGTGTTTGGAAAAATATAAAATCAATTCAAATAGTTGAGGGATAATGTGAAAAATTCAATAGTTTAATGGTACAAAATGAAATTGAATCAATAGTTAAGAGTCAAAGTGTTATTTCTCCTAAAATAAAATGTCATTTTCTGTGGTTTTTCCGCACCCGCCGGCTTGCCCTGGTCTATTTTCCCGGGCCATTTTAACCGAATTAAGTTGTTTTCATGTGGCTGGCAAATTGATTCTCAATTGCCTCGCATCCCCCGGCTGCTGTAGCACTCACTACCTACCTGAATATACTTTGTAATATTAAAAATTAAATATTGATCATAAAATATTTATATTTTTAAATAATAATTATTTTTTAATTATATAATTTAAAATTAAAGTAGGTAAAGAGAAGATAAGAAAAAGATAACAGATGAGAAGAGAGAGGTATGTGATGATTAGTGGGATTATCTGATGTTGGGTTGATATATATTGGTTGAATTATTTGATATTAGAGGCCGTTCAAAAAAGATAGCATTTTTTAACAAGAAAAAAGATTGTATAATGAATTTTATACTGTTATATGAAATTAAATGAAGATTAGATTAATTTTACCCATAAGGCTAAAGTATTTAATTAACATTATCTAATTTGATCTTACAGTGACGAGAGTCCCGTATATCGGGCTATCCTTATACTTTTAATTATATATTCTTGAAATTCATACTGAAGAATTCTAAAAGAATATAAATCTCCATCAGCCAAAAGTACATTTATTACAACCACCTTATTTTGACTCCAGAAAAGAAATAAATTATTTAAATATCAAAAAAAAAAAACAGTGGCTCTTACATGCAACCTTCCAGAAAAGAAACCACCAATTCAAAAGGTTGTAGTTCTGATCAAATAAAAAAAAAAAGGTTGTAGTTGGTTGACCCATTAAACTTTCAACAACCCATCATCAATTTCAGCCGCTGGATTAGATTGAATGAAGTTGGTGCATTTGCTAAAAGCTTTTGGACAAAAAATATTTAGGTGAACCACTTTCTCCTCTTGTCAACATTGCTTCCTTGCCCACCACACACTAAACACTAAAAAAATGGTTATGGAACAATCCATGATTGATCTCTGTGTGAATTCAACACAGATATGCACAAGGAGTTACGAGTAATATTATTGAAATTTAAAAAATTGATCTATTTTATTACCTTAATGATATTACAGTAATGTGATTCCATAGTGTTGTTATGACCATAACTCTTGACTTTTTTATTTTTTTTTGTTTAATGATCAGGAGTGTCTGAGGCCAGTTTGCGCTCGCATCTCAACTAATCTTATCTCTAATACGGTCAAAGACAGATTATTTACGCCGCGATTAGAGTATTCACGAGGGATAAATCTTTGGTGACCCAACTCTAAAAGGTTGTTAAAATTCGAACTTAGAACATCTGAGTTTATAGCTTTTCCATGTTATTACTTGAGCTATTCCTTTCATCAATTGACACATCATTATGTCAGCATAGTTCCCAATATCATTATTCTCGTGAGTTTGAGTTTAACCTTAATAGGTTTAGTGACAAACAGGTGGATTCGCTAGATTTCTAAGTAGTTGAGTCGATAAGAATTCAGCTTAACATGACATCTACCCAATTAAACATGACTTATATATATGTATGATATAAAACTGATTATATATGATCATAAATAAATCAAATAAGTGTGAAATAAATTTTGACACGAGACGAGCATACATGAGATCCATCTTAAATTTCAGCATCTGCTTCTGCAGAAAATGGGAGAGAAACCCATTCCTCCTATCACTTTCTTCAAATATTTTTTGTTTTTAAATTTTTTTTTTTTTTTTTAGAGAGGGCGGACCTGAACCCTGACCTCAATTCATACACACCAAAATGTGACTTTGTTTGATTCAAAAGGTTGAATTCATCCAAGTGGAAATGGCCAGAAATCCCTAAATTTTGAGGAAGTCTTCCTTCTGACTTTATCTTTTACGTGCAAGACAACGTAATCCTTTGTCTATTTTGCACATAGAATCTTACAAATATATGTCAGATATAGTCATCATTTGCTGTGGTCTAATTATAAAATATGTTGCAAAAGATTACGCCAATTCAAGGCACTCAAAATATAAATAAAACCATATGAGTTATTGGTGTAATGATAAGTTAAAACTTGTTTGAGCTCGTCTTTAACTCTCATGAAATTATTAAGTAAGGTTCGATTTATAAAAACAACGTGATTTGCTGTTTGATTTTAATCGTGCTATGATAATAAACTGTCATTTCAAATTAATAATTATGATTTAAATCAAATATTTTATTATAAAAAAACCTTGTAGTCACACCCAGAAGTTATTACCTAAAGGTCCCTCCCCCGCCTCACCTTTATTTATCCCAAAAAGAAGATTGATAACCACCACATCTACCACACAGCTGCTGCTTGTATACTATACAAGAACTAATCAAAGAAGCCTTGAGTTTTATTACTAAAATACCCCTAATATGCAGTTATGATTTAGTCCTAAGATAAGGTCATATTAGCCATTTCATACACTAAAGCCCCGGGAAGGCTGCACATACGTACCAGAAACAACAACTCCTCTGCATTTGAATGTTTCAGCCACCAAACCCAAAAGAAATGCTCAAAATTCAGAAAAAGAAGAACAAGTTTAGTTTCAGAACACACTAATGAAGTTCTTCATGGCTGCAAAGGTTCAGCCTTGGATAGTTTTCAGTTTCTCTCTCTCCTTTCTGTTCTTCTTCTCTTCAATTCCTCAATGTTCATGTCAATTTGATTCTCCTCAGAACATTCAAACTTTCTATCCATTTCCTCTTCCACCAATCGGGTTAACACCCAATTCTAGTTACGACAATCAACCACCACCAACTCCGACACAACCACCGCCTCCACCACCGCCATCACCACCAGCAAAGTCATCATCTAAGAAAGCTGTTGGTACTGCGGTTGGTATAACCGCGGCAGTCACTCTAGTTCTGTCAGGGATGTTCTTCTTTATTTTACTCCATCATAGGTCCAAACGTCGTAAGAGGGAGCAACCACCATATATTAATCCTTATTCCCATGAAGCTAATAATCCTGTGGTGGTGCCTCGCGATGAATTTACGCGATTCAATGGTAATATAAAGGGTGTGATTGTTGATGAGGAAGGTTTGGACGTGCTTTATTGGAGAAAACTAGAAGGTGGAAAGTTCAAGAATAGTTTTAAGAAAGAGGTGTTTAAGGATAGAAAAGTTGAAGAAAAGGAAGAAGAAAAACAGGTGATTAGTAGAGTGGATAGTAGACAGAAGAAATCTAAAGGGCCTGTCCAAGAAATTCCTTTGCTTAGAGGCAAGTCTTCAACGTCTCACAGTCCATCTTGGAATGGATTGGAAAAGCCTAATCAAGTTGAATCAACAAAAGCTTCTGCAGAAACTGTTCTTAGTGCCCTGGAAAAACAAAAATCATCGGTTCAAACATCATCACGTTCGCCTCCACCAACGCCGCCATCACCTCCTCCTCCTCCTCCTCCACCGCCTTTGCCTCTTATGGCAATTCCGAAGATGCAAAGTCCGGCACCACCACCTCCTCCTCCAATTCCAGGAAAGAAAAGTCATGCACCACCACCTCCACCACCTAAGGCTGGTGGTGGATTGCCATCATCATTATCAAAGCCAACCCCAGCGCCAAAAGGAATGCTGAGTGAAAGTAAACGAGGCGAGTCTTCGTTAGGAGATGCCATGGCAAGAAGCGGAAAGGATCAGATCAAACTGAAGCCCCTGCATTGGGATAAAGTGAATCCCAATGTTGATCATTCGATGGTCTGGGACAAAATCGATGGTGGCTCTTTCAAGTAAATCTTCTCTGCTAATTTGGGGTTTTGCTATAATTATCCGATATTCTCTCTCTTTGTTCTTATTGATTCTCAATTTTTTCAGGTTTGATGGTGATCTTATGGAAGCTCTCTTCGGTTATGTCGCTACCAACAGAAAATCCCCGCGAAAAGAGAGCAATTCATCGAGTCCAAAAAGTGAAAGATCAGGTCCACCCTCTCAGATTTTCATCCTCGACACAAGGAAGTCCCAAAACACAGCAATTGTGCTCCGTTCTCTAGCCATTTCTCGAAAAGAGATCATCGATGCACTCATTGAAGGCCAAGGTCTAAATGCAGACACTCTTGAGAAGCTCACTAAAATAGCCCTTACCAAAGAAGAAGAAACAGAAATCCTTGCATTTGATGGAGACCCCACAAGACTAGCAGATGCAGAGTCCTTCCTCTATCACCTTCTCAAAGCTGTTCCATCTGCGTTTACTCGATTCAATGCCATGCTTTTCAGATCAAATTATGATTCAGAGATTCTCCACCTCAAGGAATATTTACAAACACTTGAATTGGCTTGCAAGGAGCTTCGAACTCGTGGCCTGTTCTTGAAACTTTTGGAAGCAATCCTCAAGGCTGGTAATCACATGAATGCAGGAACCTCAAGAGGCAATGCACAAGCTTTCAATCTCACTGCCCTCCGAAAGCTGTCTGATGTTAGAAGCACTGAAGGAAAAACTACATTGCTTCACTTCGTCGTGGAAGAAGTAGTCCGGTCAGAGGGGAAACGTTGTGCTCTCAATAGAAATCGTAGCTTGAGTCGTAACAGCAGCAAAAGCAGCAATAGTGGGAACCTAAGTTCGGCCAATTTATTGAAAGAGGAGAGAGAAAAAGAATACAAAATGCTTGGTTTACCTATAGTAGGAGGCCTAAGTGCTGAATTTTCCAATGTGAAGAAAGCAGCCACAATAGACTACGATAGCCTCGCCCAAACGTGCTCAGTGTTAGGTGCCAGAGTTGCAGAAATGAAGAAACTTGTGCTGCAACCTGCCCCTGGCGAAGGAGGAGGATTTGTAAGAGAGATGAAAGGCTTTCTCAACTCTGCTGAGAGTGAAATAAAAGCAGTGAGAGAAGAGCAAACAAGGGTGATGGAGCTTGTAAAGAGAACAACAGACTATTATCAAGCAGGAGCCTCTAAGGATAAAGGGACACAATCACTTCAACTCTTTGTGATTGTTAAAGATTTTCTAGGAATGGTTGATCAGGCTTGTGTTGATATTGCTAGAAATCTGCAGACGAGGAAGACAGCATCCCCAGCTGCTGGATCATCATCCTCAAAGTCACCGACTTCTCGGGCCTCGATGAAATTTCCAAAATTGCCAAAAAATTTCATGTCAGATAATCTGAAGAGCAGTTCTAGTGATTCAGGTGATGAGTTCTGAGGAAACACAACCGGGGATTGGGATGTAAATAGGCGAAAAGGCATGCTGGAATGCTGTTTAACTGTTTAATTGATTCTTTAAATGTCAGATTCTTTTCAAAATGTGAGTAAGTTTTCGTTGTTTACATTGAACTTTTCATTTTGCTGATATGAATTTTTCTCTTTCCAACGAACCATTGAATGCAGGGATCCAAACCCCAAATCTCGTACTGATGTCATGTTGAACCATCTACTTTAAAAACTTCAATTTCTAGAGATGGTGTAATTTAAATACGGATACATTTCAATATAACTAATCAAAGGTAGGCATGATGCTGGACGATCCATTGGTGTCATGATCACAAACATTCTGTCTAATCAGAGTTCTGTGAAACAATGCCCAAAAGAGCAACATATACAACTTAACAAGAACCATGTCTAAAAATAACAACATATCACTTTGTAATTGCAGAAATTCCAAGCCTGTCATAATGTTTAACTATTGACTATATCGTGCACATACATTACCACAACACTTCGTTTCCCAAGTATAATATGGCTCTTGAGAGGGAGGAGCACCACCAGGAGAGTACTTTGCTGATATCTGATCGCGGAGAGCCCCAACCTCTTATTTTATCTCCGGAAAGTGATAAAGAAATCTCAACAAAACAATAGGATACACCATACTGGTTGTCTGCTATGGCATTTCAGAAATACAGCCCGAGTCCTGAACTGTCTCCATCTTGGATAAGCAATAATATTATGGGATGTGTCCTTACCAAAGAAGAAATCTCTTCTTTGCATGGGTCTTCCTCGCCCATTAGTTTCTTTCTCCACCAAAGACTGTACTTGCGCCTCGATTCCAATCTATGATCAAAGTTAGTAATTTCACTAAACTGCACCAACTTTTCACCTATGTGACTCAGGTCAACGACAGACCTCAATTTTGGGACCCTGCTACATCATAAAACACACAGTAATCTCACAGTTGACTACAATTTGAACGGGAAAAACAAAATCAAAATATCTAACCAAACCAAATCCAATATAAATTTTGTTTCTAATGAAATAATAGTACATAACAGCAGGTGGGCAGTTAGCATATTAATGTAGGCATTGTATTACTCTTTGGCCTGGGCAATACAGGGCCATGGAGCTCATTTAATTGGTATGAGTCAGTGGCTAGAATTTGTTTTCAGGAACATGAACCTGAAGGGTCAATACAGTATTTTGCCATGATCTGCATCAACCTGAAGGTAATACAATATTATACCAGCACAGAGTGCGACGGATCATTTTAATCATTCTCAAGGAAAGGGTTGTATTTAGTAAAGTATAATTCCATTGTGTTTCAAGAAGCATTTGAAGATATTTGCCATGAGCTGCATGAACCTGAAGGTTCAATACAAATTATTGCAGTACAGAATCTGACTAATCCTTTTAATCATTCTCAAGGAAAGGGTTGGATGCAATAAAGAATGATTCCCTTGTGTTTCAAGAAGCATTTGAAGATAAAAATCTACTATTTTCACAATGAAAAGACCAAAGAAAACATGAGCAATCACTTGAGCTGAGAATCACTTTTACGAATTTATGAAGCAAAGCTCTCCTAATATTACCACTTCGGATTATTTTGTCAATTTCCATGATGGATCTGTTTGCAGTAATGGATTTCTATGAAAATGATATGTAACAGAAGATGACTATTTTGCACAAGAGGTGACAACCTCCCCACCCTATAATTGTATAAGATTTATATGATTGAGTCATATCCAAAAGAGATGTATCATTTTTTAATTCAAATCTTTGCTTCTGTTTGCATCTTATGTAACTAAAGAAGTTGCGAAAAATGGCTTAATGGATATGAATAAATAACTTTATAACAAGGTGATCAACTTCACATCATCCTTTATGCAATGAAAAATATTTTTTCCCTAGAATGAGATGTGTGAAAAAAAAAAAAAAAGCAAGATTTTGATTGTAGTGGTAAGGCCATCATGCTCATTCTGACTCACATGATGTGATGTCCTCTTGACAAACTACAGGTTCAGTTCTGGCAGCAATGAGTCTCAGCACCATCTACCACCACCAGCAGGAATAACTTATCTTGTACAAGTGGTAGTTAAGATGTGCTATAATTGAAGTTGGTCTTTAATATTATAATTAGACCAAGAAACTTTCAAGAAAGAACTAGAGCCAAGATTTTGACATAAAAACTTAATGTGGCCCACCATTTCCAACCACTTAAAAGAGAAAAAATGAAGGTGGAAGCATGCAAGTATAATGCCAAAATAAAAAAGAAAGACGATGTTTCTTCTAGATGACTCCTCATGGTATAAGAATGTTTCTTCCAGATGACTCCTCATGGTAGATGAATGTATCTTATAATATTTCTATTTAAAAACTTTCTGTATCAAGATATCTGTCTTAAACAGAATTGGTCTGCATCAATATGTTTAACAATCACTAAAGAAGGTGATCATCTTCTAGTACGAAGAAAATTGACATACCTTTTTCTAAGCAACTCTTCGATATCTCTTGTCCCTGATAAAAACCTGGCATGGGTGAGGCTTTGAAATTGAGACTCTGTCTAAGCTTGCTGATCTCAGCGTCCTTTTCCTCCTGAGGCAAGTAGGCAGTGTTGAGACACTCATATATAGACAAAATAAAGATGATCATGCTGCAAAAGTGATATTGATTATAATGAAGCAGCATAATTTTAGTTTTTTCGCTGTACTAAAACATACCTTTAATTTCGAACGAAGGCGTGTTTTTTCCGACCCTTTAGCATGGGATTTTTCCTCCAGCTTCTTAAAAAACTGTTGCAAATAACTAAATCTGAGTACAGGTGGAAAAATAGTATATGGAAGATGTTTTAAAGAACAAAAGCTACAGGTGAGAATTGGGGGTCAAGGCGTCAATGGATACCTCTTTTTGTTTTTCAGCTCTTTCTTCACTTCTGACGGCAGCCTTCACATTTCTTCCATCCACACAAGTTGCTTTCAGTGGCCTGTTTTTAATTATGCAATCCAAAATTAATCTTTTAGAGAAAATGACAAATGGAGCTTCACAATAAACACAAATTATGCACAATATATAAATTTGCCTCCTTTTTTTATTTTTTCCAGTCTAAACTACTAGTTAAAAGCATCAAATATGTTTTTTTTTCCAGATTTTTCATCATAGGATGACAACTGGCTGCTAACATAGAAAGAGCCCTTTCTCTATTCAAATGATGCTTATGGATGGCAATTGGTCCCAAATTGATCAGCCAACTCCCTGTCCCATTGCTTGTGTAAAATGTGTTCAGGCTGGGGTGGAATCATCCTGCTGAAACTACCATTTGGAAAATCACAACAGTGGCCCAATAAAATTAAATGGAAAATTCTGTAGAATGAAAATTTACCTTTAAGGAAAGTAGTTTTATGAGTATGGGCAGAATTGATGACTTATCAAATAGAATAGAGAATGTAATGTACACAAACCACACCGACAAACATGTACACACACTCACTCTTATCCCAAAAATAAAACTGTATACACACCCACATCTTACCCTGATGAGATAGAGTTCGTTTTTGTGCTCACAAATCCTCTCTGAGCATTCATTTTCTCTGCTGCCTTCCTCATTCTACAGTTTTTCAAAGATTATTAGATCAAAGCTCAAAGTTCAAATAAGCCAGCCAAGGAAATATTTGCACAAATAGAGGCCCATGTATTGTTGTAACACATTATAGAGATGCATATATCATGAACATATTCAGAGTCTCATGCATGTGCATATGCATAATGATTCAAGATTCCATTTTCAAAGGGTATCTCCAGTGCGCTTTCACAGGAGGGATCTGATCCTAGCGGTAAAAGTAAAAGCAGTAAACAGTAACAAATGCTTGTAAATGAAGAACACAACAACGAAATTCTTGAAGCAACATAAACATTCATTACAAGTCTAGACAAGAAAAGAAAGATTCAATGGCCTCCCCACCAATAATATGATATGGAAGATATAAAACAAAAGAAAGGAAAAAAAGGAGCAAAAAAGACCATAAAACTCTAACTATAACTTTATTGTAACGCTAAAGCTACGAATTTGAAGATCATTTGTCTTCATGAAATGCAGTAACAAAGAAATGTACTAGTTTTGACAGGTAGTGATTTGATATCCTAACTAATAGGTAATATTAAGCTCAAAACTAGACAAAGAAGGGGTGAATTACCAATTACTTGGGCAGAAATTTGTGATATTATAAAATTTGGATACCCCAGGCATTTCACTTTGATTCATTGAATTCAAAGATACAAGATGAGTTTAAACATTTTGCTCCGCATTTTGAAAACCTCATATGCAAGCATTGGTTACAATATGCCACAAGATATAACGATATTTCAACTTACCCTTCATTCTCTTTTCTAGGAGTGATGGAAGTCGAAACTTTTTTCTCTAATCCCCCAGTTGACACCTGCTCAAAAATGTTGAGACCAAAGCTTCACAAAATGAAAATAAGTGGAACACATAATAAGTATATATGCATAATTAAATAGGAGTTTTGACCATAAACAGCCATTATAAAGCAACAAACCTTATTTGATCCACAAGATTTTGCATCACTGGAAGTTCTTAATTGGTTGAAATTATTCTGGAATGTCTTAAATGCTCGTTTGACAATATCCTTGTCTCCCATTTTCTCCATAATTAAAGACTTTCTGGCTGTAGTGATGACAGTAAGAGAAGCTGAATCAGAATTTGCAGGACCCAAGCTGAGAGACATGTGCAGGGATTTAGGAGCAGCTCTGTTGCTTTGTCCTACAGACGGATTCTTGCTCCTCGATAGTAATAAAGCATTTTCCTTCTTTGTTGAAGATCGAGATGCAGACACCGCAGTGGAAGTTGACATCGGCTTTGATACTTTAGGAGTGGAAAGTTGTCGTGGTTTGGGTAAGGGTGATATCGGTTTCTTCCTTGTCCCCACCAAATTCTGCTCCTTTCTGATTGAAGCATTCTAAACACCAAATGTGCAATCAATTAATAATATAGATTAATCAGAAGAACAATCAAACTTCGAGAATTATGAGACAGTTGAAATAATCTCTATATTAATAAATTGTCTACAAACTTGACCTTTTGAGATGTATTCTGTGCATCCAATTTTGGATTCTCCACTTTATTTTCCTGGTTGTTTACTGTCTCATTGTCTATTTTTGGAGGCTGCTCCACCACATCCAAAGATTCCACTCTTGGAGGCATTTCCACCAAATCCACAGATCCCACTTTTGGAGGCTGTTCCACCACATCCAGAGACCCCTTTGGGAGGGTCTCTTCATTATCCAAAGCACCTTCTTCTGAGCCATTTGATGCAGGACCATCTACTTTGCCATCTAATTCTTCCTTGGCTTCCTCAACCAATGAATTTTGACACTCCAAGGCAATAACAGCATCTTCTTTTGGTACAGCAGCCCTTTCTGTAGGGCTCAGACCATTGGAAATTCTGAAATCAGTACCAATCCCTGAAGTATTTTCCATAATAAGATCTTTGCAATTTGGATCATCTGATCTTGAAGGTTCAGTTTCCACTGTCTTCTCCGGCTCCAGTAGCTCGGCCTTCCGAGCAGCAATCTTCTTGTAGTGTGCTTCAAAATAAGCTCTTTTCTGAGCTACCGATCCGTGTGTTGAGCATTTCTCAACTTCTTCCAAGTACTTATTTGGAGAGAAAGATGACCATTTCTCCCAAGAAAGTGAATCATTCTCAAATCTACCAAAGGAAACCGATACTTCAAGAGTAGCACCAGAGGCCACAGCAATGGGCTCTCCCATCTGTTTATTTACAGATAATCCCAACTTTAAGCCAAAATAACAGAAACCAGAATGACAACTCAAAACAGCACAGAATGTGGGGATTTAAAAAGTATAAGCAACAAATGAATCATGAATCTAAAGAAAACATTAAGTTCAATGAACAATAATTGGAAAAACGAAAATCAAACAAATGGGCCACATTTTACTGATCAAAGGACGAAGAGGGTATACCTTATTTCCAACAATTGGTGCTTCTAATACTGATTCACCATAAATTCTCTCGAGATCAATGATGAATTACCACCCAACTACCAAAACAAAACAGGGCAATTCATCAATAAATTCAACCATAGTAGCTGACCAAAAGTAAGCAGATTATAATGAAGACAAAAAGAAGCTTAGAAAAAACTGCAACCAGAGAAGGCATGTGCATGTTCTGTGGTTCTACTTTGTTGTTTGCTAACAAAATACTAATCCATACAACTTTTTACGGTTACGAAAACTTTGTCAGTTTGTGGAAATTCTGGTAATGATAAGCTCAATCACCCACTTAGAAACAAGTGTACCAAGTGGAGACACAAACATCAAAGTGGCATATAATCCTCTCATGACTCCAAAAGAGGTTTCATCATTTTACTGCAGTTGCTGTTTTTTTGATAGGTAAAAAGTTGAAGATTTTACAGAGTATGTGAAAGGAGGAGGATGATGGTGAAAGCATAAAGGAGAGGAAAAAATATGGGCATTTTAGCAAATAACTGGTGGATGACAATTTGATTAAGAAATTAGTTGACTCAATTAGGGGGAGAAGTCTACACTACTAAAAAAAATACAAGTTTTGTAAATAATTTTTATAAAATTTAAGAGTCATTTACAATTTTTAATGTTACTTTGGATCCATCTTAAAAAATTTTGGGTGTGATTGACGAAAGTTGTAATTTAGATCATAAAAGAAGTAATATGATCAAAAAAATTATGATTTTTTTAGTTGTAAACAAATTTAAAACCTTGTATTTTCGCCTACAAAATTTATAAATTTTGAAAATATGGTACTCATTTTGTTTTATTTTTTTTGGGTATCGCAATCTTCGAGATCCAACCGAACACTGTGGGACACATTTTATTAACTATAGAAATAAAGAAAATAAATGAGATTGTGTAGTATTTGGGTCAGGTCACAGCCACATTGTTCACACAAGTTTTTATTTTGTTCCCTTAAACAATGTCGTTTTAACGCATTAAACGACGTTATTTTATTATGTGCAAAATAATATCTTTTTAGTAAAATAGCATCTCTGTAGTAGTAGTGGAGGGTATCCCCATCCCTTACCCACGTAAGTCCCTACTAACAGATAATGATCAGCATCAGTGATGAGAGTAGATAGATTCGCAAAAGAAGGTCCACTCAAAATTGCAGTGAGAGGGAGAGAGAGAGACAGAGAGAGTTGCCACTTGCTAGATGTGTAGATCAATAATTTAGTTAATGTGGGACACGAGTGGACCCTTTGAACTATACTTGACCTGAAAACTGTCAGATTTAAATCCCTCTATTACCCCTTCTCTTCGATTGTCCTCAAAGTTTTAGATGAGTAGTATTTGTAAAATTTTAAATTTTAATAGATGAGATATTTCTTCTTTCATTTTATTGTTGGTGGAGTGTTAATCATTATTAAAAAATTTTCTCACAAGGAAAAAATTTTATCCATTGAAATTCAAAATTTTACGCATATCACGTATCTAACACTGTATTAAAAGGAATTAAAAGAAAAAGGTAATAAAGAGGATTCGAATCCAAAACTGTCCTCCACTCCAAGCTAATAGAACGTAGCCTGTTCTTAAAATGATATTTAAGACCATTATTTCCATCATCCATTCATATAAAGGATAAGAGGGTGGTTCAGTAATTAAACTTAGCTAAAGCTACCAATGAAGTCGAGCCGTGTCAAAATTTACCAGGACCATACATGAGCCATGCATAATTGAATTCATTTTTCACGTAATCATATATACATTCGATCAAACTTGTGCCAACCACAACTAGATTCATATCAACCCATGAATCAGGTAGGCATAATTTTGAACCAATCCCATTACATCTAAACATATACCCAACAACTTTGTAACAATTTTTTAGTTGTCGGATCGATAGATCATTTAAGAATTGTCGGCTATAAAAGAAGCTCATATCATAAAGGCAAAGACTACAATCTCATCTAACTTGGTACAATTGCAAAGAAATGTAAGTATTCCATGTAAAATTATTAGAAAACATAAGCAAACTTTGCCGCAGAAACAACATTTATTAAGCCAGAAAAGGCTTTACATGTCAAAATATAATGAGACTCCAAGAGCACATAATTCACATACTCTAATTTAAAGTGGAAATATCTTGTGCCCCCAAAAATTACATCAACAAGACAACAAAACGTAATGATTCTAACCATTCCCAAGAGCAAGTATCTACAAGGGTGATAATTTTCGTTACAACTTTTATTGTTCAATCCTCTTTTTTCGTTTTCCTGTTTTTTATCCTCTGTCCAGAGAGGGGAAGTCGGAAAATTTCCCCAATACTTCTTAAGGAAGCACAGCTCTGACTTCTTTCCTATCAGCTCCAAATGCCTGCAACAGATAACCAAAAAAACTCTGATACCAGGCTAGTGCAAAAGCAAGCTTAACAATAATTACCAATATGGCTGATCTGGACACCATTTTTCCCTCCATCCATTTATACATGTTTATACGAAGCAATACCACTTAAGTATCATTACAAAAATAACTAGTGAATCCCTAAGATGCAATAGCATGTCATTTTCAAACACGCTGCTCCAAGAAAAACACATCAAATACACTATGTAATCATTCTTAAAATGAAAAAAAAAAAAATTACTAGTACAAATCTTAAACTTTGGGGGAAAAAGAACATAGTTCCACAAACCATTGTTGGGCGGGGCACATCAGCAGATTAGGCAGTAGGGCCCTTGATCAAAACATGTGCCTTCTCCTTGAGATCTTTGATGGAGAGGTTTACTCTGAATAGGTGATTTGTGTTGTTTCATTTTTAAAACGCCATCAAAGTGGGATATCATACCCATGTTGCGGCAATCCATGCTTTTTGAACCCTTAATGACCACTTTGCAAAGCTTCAAAATACTACTCAAGTTGCTCTTAGATTATCCCCTTATCAAAGGACCATCAGTCTCTGTTACACAACCGTAGGTTCAGGTATTGGGAGTGATAGGAATCTAGGTGCCAGATTTATCTCATCTCAAGACTCGAAAACATGAACATGGCTAAATACAACTATTTTTACATCTTCTTTATTTTCCATAAATGGTTTAATGCAATAAAGTGGGTCACCATGTGCATTTTGACAAAGTACAACACGGGGTTTAAAGTTAACTAGGCAATCAGCACCCTCCAATCTGACAACGATTTACATTCCGTGTTTCACACGAGCCTCACATGACTCAACCAAGTCGTGCGAGACATAACCAAATCAACCAAGTCATCATCACCGGATTGACCGAAACTCTTCATCATGTTCAACTACTTCTATATAGCATTTCACAGGTAATAGCCCAATATCAATTCGCAACGCCGTGACCTTTGCGTCTCAATGCCTCAAAGGTCGATATCGCAACCTTGGACCACTGTACAAAAACGTCTATATTCTGCAACAAAGGGCCATTCATCCAAGTATAAAGAGTATGTCAATTACAAGACACTATTGGTGAACGACTGTCTAGACATGTCAAACCTATATACCATAGTCATATTCATATCTAGAGTAATGTTACTTGAACTTAAAATGTTTAACTTAATTTTCAACCACTGTTATTGATTTAACTGTGGGTATCAATATTTATTGGGAGTCACTATCTATTCAATAGTTGTGATTGATCAAATCAACAAACTAAGTCAACATGTTAAGTCCAAATAGCATTTTCCACATATCTAAATGTGTCCGCTGTCAGTATTTCACACATTTAAAAAAGTCCATGTGACGTTGCCCGTCTTTAAGGTACACAAAATTTTTGACATAATAATTTATAGTTGTATAGGTGATATCTAGAAGGAATGATCTACAGGCATAGCTCACAGTTTTCTAGTTCTGTTAAGGGTATGCTATTACTCGGCTTTGGATTAACTTTACTGAACATAATTCATGTGATATGTTGGACGAAGAAGAAGGAAAAAGAATTAGACATTTGTATCATCAGCATATACCTTTTCTACCCCTCAAGTAAGATATCCAGGGAAGAAAATGTTAGTTCACTTCCCATATTACGCCAAACATAAGTACCACCAGTCATACATCACTATAGTAGCAAATACATCATGCATCGTCCTAAAGAAGTGGCCCATCTGATCAACTCACACCTTTGCTATCTTTCATATTATGCCAAACACAACAAACAATGTGCACAAATTATCATCAGTGTTCCATGCAAAACATATCAGCATGCACAGTCAAACCAGTTAAGTATTGCAAGAACATAAATTGCTGAGAAAAGAATTAATCTTATTGTATGCACCACATTTGATACCTTTCAATACTTAATAGCTAGGCCAGTCACAAAGGGTGTCCAAATCATAACCTCAACAAAGAAAAAAATGTCTTCGTTTTTTGAGATAATTGATAAAACTAACAGATCACGAGGAGCTAAACTTTACCTCAACTCCATATCCTTTCGCATAGACATTGGTGAAAAGTTCAGAAGGATCGGGCATGGGGCTCTCCTGGTAAAACGGAGAACAAAGGGATCACCCATCAAACGTTAAGCATAAAAAGCAAAGCTCTCCAAAATGTTATTCGCATCTACAGGATGGAAGAAAAATATAAGTGTGCCATGCTTCTTACCTTGGCTTGCACGATGGCTTGATCTACCTCTTTTCTTATTTCCTTCTCAATATCCTGCAAAAGGATTTAATAAAGTCAACCAATGAACCTCATTAAGATGTTGCTCTCTAACAGGAAAAAAAAACTGAAATAATCATCCTGATTAATATAAACAAAAAAAAAATAGCCAAATTATTACAACTGCCAAGCAAAGAATTTGCTACGGGAAAATTCAAAGTAAGGGATTCAGATCTTCACGTACCTTTAACTCTTTCTCGGTGGATATATCCTGAGCTAATATCAGTTTTCTTATTCTTTCAATTGGATCACGCTCCTACACAAAGTCCAAATCATGTATACACATTATGTGAGACACCTAAGAGAAAGGTATTTTAATAATAATCTCCCTTCAGAGAGAAAATAGGGAAAAATCAACCTGTCTCACACCACTAATCTCATCACGTGTGCGGTACGTACTTCCAGGATCAGACATAGAGTGACCATGGTACCTGTAAGTGTCCATTTCAAGAATCTGAACACAAGCATTGAGAAGACAAAAATTAATTTTTACATGTAAAAATGACATATGAATACCAAAAGTAAAACAGAATTCAATCCCAGCAAATCTTAGTTCCAATAATAGCTCATATTATGAAACACTAGTATATGACCTGCAAATGCATTAATTCACTCTAAGAATAAAAGAAAGACACTCAACTTACTTTCTAAATTAATATAAAAAAATTTCACGGATTCAGAAATTATAATATGCAGCTTCCAAATTTGAAGTTTTCCCAATTGACATGTATTTAGGAATATGCAGTTGTCCCAGGGTCAATTCTGGCTTACATGAAGGAAAATCCCATCCCCCGTCTGGCAAGTCTACATTTCCTATATACATCTCAATCTATCAATTTCAACAGTATAGCATCAACAAAAGACTATAAAATAACATGATTTCTGAATATATTTGACTGTCCAAACTGAGTTTCAATATTTTTATTTAACTTGCAATGTCATGGGAAAAGAAAATAGTTCTGCTCAATTTTATCAAGGAGATAAAGAGGGGAGTACCCTGTTATACATTTTCTTCTGTGTACCACCCCAGAGAATTGTGGAGATGAGGGTTGGTGAGACACTAGAATCAGGATGTGACGTCATTGAAGATGTTTGTCTTTTGTTGTGCATTACAAAGAAGGGAACTAACAAAATTTTTGAAGGGCGTAATGACAATTCATAAGAGAAGACAACTGTTCGGGTTATTTGTACAGTTAGTGGTACACGTGGAGATATTGCAACTTCCTTTTAAGTCGTCTTACCATTCTTTGATTGTGGATATGCCTAGTGGTGGTTTTTTTTTTTTTTTTGGGGGGCGAGGGGGGAGCATGTCCTATACCATCGCCTAGTCCAATGCCCGACACAGGTAATCCAAGCATCTAGAAGTGTCCATTTAACGTGAACATGCAACAATGATGTAAAAATTATTGGCAGGTTGTTTCAGACAGCTTTGCAAAAGATCCTAGATCCTATTAATCAACCGACTTAACTAGAAAGTATTCTCCATCAAAAAAATGAACATAGAAGCAATGATTACTACGACAACTCAGAGTAATGTAATATTTCAGGAAGAGTGCTTCAAATGATAGGACATTTAGCTTTTACAATATAGGTTTCAGAAAACTCTACATAAAATGGCACAAATGCCTGTGAATGTACTCACAATTGGTCCATTCTTCAAAGCATGGTCCTTTGCAAATTTGCATGCTTGTTTCACAGCAAAGGCATCCATGCCATCCACCTGTTTCCAAAGTTCAAAACATAAGAACATATACCAAAGGAAATAGGACACAATGAAATGGAATGCCATAAATAACTCCACCAGTGATCAGTCTGTTATCAAGACTTAATGTTAACCACTTATGCAGTAATAATCATGATAATTTCTGCCTTCTGCATAACACAAATGAGCACATCATGAAGCTGCTAATGAACACAACTTATAATTGTAAATTCATACACTTGAGAAATGAGTATACTATCAAGGTATATTTAAGCCGGTTAACAAACTGCCAAAAACCACTTGTAAATACTAATCTAGTCTAGCCTACAAATCACAAACTTAAACAGCTAATATCTTTAAGCAAATAGTCACATTTTCGGACACAATCTTGATTTCACCAAGACTAAAACCGCAAAATAAAAATAAAAATACTCAACTATGTGAAACAATCAAATCACAAACACCCAGACCAACAGCACAAGCTATTCAATTATTTCAATATCACCTTCAAACCAGGAACATAGTCTCCTCTCTTATAGTAAGCCGGACTCTTTGCTGCCCTCCACTCCGCTGTCCCCATTCCATCTGCACCAGCAATACAAAACCAATCAAACCACACCACCATCCTAACTCCCATAAATATCTACAATGGCACTCGATTAAAATAACATGTGCACGCGGATAACATCATTTCTTAACTGTACAAACAGGCATACACACATTTACCACATTCACAATCTATCGGAACACATTCTCTTCTCAATCACAAACAGAAATCTGCTTTTACTCCAATTATGAATCTTTTATTAAAAACTTACAGTGATTGTTCTCGCAAACCAAGATCGCCGGAAGATCCCACAGAGCAGCCATGTTCAAGGCCTCGAACAACTGCCCCTGATTCGCTGCCCCATCCCCATAAAGAATAAACGACACGTTCTCGTCCCTACTATATTTCTGCGCGAAAGCCAGCCCACACCCTAATGGCACTTGAGCCCCCACAATCCCATGCCCGCCATAAAATCCACTATCCTTCTTATAGAAATGCATCGAACCCCCTTTTCCCTTAGAACACCCACCTTTACGACCCATCAGCTCTGCGAAAGTTTCCAACAAGGTTCCTCCGCGGCCGAGGTATAGACAGTGGTCTCGATATGCGGTGATGATGATGTCCTTTTTGGTAATTGCAGCTTCCATGCCGATGGCGACGGCTTCTTGGCCGTCGTAGAGGTGGCAAAAGCCGCGAATCAGCTTGGCTTTGTAGAGGGAATCGGCGGCGATTTCCATTCGGCGCATCCGAGACATTTCGCTGAAGAAGGTCATGAGTTCGGAAGCGGTGGTCGTGACGGATTGGGATGGTGGGTCGATTTGGTGGCCCTTGAAGGGAACGGCTATCTCGACGTTGATGGTGGAGTCCGAGGAGGTGGAGAATAGGCGGGTGGAGGGGATGAAGGTGGTGAGGGGTTTCAGGAGAGTGGAGCTCCGGCGAGTCAGGGCCATCTCGGTCGTTGGTTTGATCGGGCGGTGGGATGCGTAATGGGGTTTGGTGAGAGCGGGGTGCCACTGAAGAGAATAATCAAATAAAGTGGGAGAGAGTGATTGACTTGGAAAATTAATTATTAATTAATAAACTAACTAAAAAATACGCCACCATATTCCGCATAATTGATTTATTTTTTGTATATATATACTAGAGTTAATTAGTTCCCAAAATATTGATTGTATTTCATTTTGGTCTAATATTTTAATTGTATTATTTTGATTCTTAAAATATTGAATATATTTTTACGCGGTCTTTCAAATAGATAACATTTAAATTATTAATAATTTTTTATCATAAATTTCTCATATGATACCTAAATATAAACAAAAAATAATTTAAATAATTCTTGATCAAAATTTGTGTAGCACCTAACCAAAAATGCATAATATGGATAATTTTTGATCAAAATTTGAATGAGTAATTATCAAAATTGTGTAATTTGAATAACTCTTTGATTAAAATTTGAGTAAAATTTTTATTAAAAGTTATCTAAATTATTTTTTTATCCATATTTAAATATTACGTGACAAGTTTATAATAAAAAATTATTACGAATTTGATCAAATTGTCTGTTTGAGTTATCACATAAAAATATATCTAATACTTCAGAAACTAAAATAATACAATTAAAATATTGAAAACCAAAATAAGACAAACTTCATATTTTAGAGACTTCTAAATCAATTAACCCTATATTTTAATTTTCATGAGAGGTTACCCTATATATATTAGAAATTAGAAATTTTTATTAATAATTTTCATGAGAAGTTACCATATAAATGTTAAAATATGCGTGAATTAATTTAGGCATTCTGGACTCTCGAAAAAAAAAATTTGATAGTAATATTTGGGCAGCATTCATTTTGTTAGGACTATTTGGTAGGCAGTAAACAAAGATGTGCTACACATGGTTTGGTGCGTGCAGCCTCCGATAGTTCAGTTTTGTCCTTTGTCCAAACCCACAATCCAAAGAAAGGGCCACCCACCAACTGTCAAGCTTAGATGGGCAATAATATTATCAAACAATACCAAAAAGCTGTGACAGCTGTTACAATCAAGACCAATTAAGGTCAATACAACTTAGTTTGAAGCAACACAGTAGAAATTCATTCTTCCACCAACGCATCCCCCCACCAACCCGCAACAACACAGCCAAAAACTGGGAATTTGTATTGTTACACGTGGTCCATGCTCAACGCAAGTCAACTAAATATTTGTTTCAACGGACACAACGCCATTTTCAACGGTGGTAACACGTTTTTATTCATAAGTATTAATGTTGAAAAATAAACCACCATATAAAGTGGTGATTTCTACGAGTACTATTATCACTAAACAACTGGTCTAGTGGATAAAAACTCAATTTTTTCTTGCTATATACTTGAATCAATTCTTTTCATCTGAGACAACTCGTTAGATTTGAACTTATTTTTCAGCGGTTAGAGCACATAGTGAAACCTTAACTTCAATCTTGACGTATGTACAGTGAGATCTTCTACAAATAACCGTGTGGTACTGAGGAAAAATCTTCTCTAACAGATATACAATAACCTATCTACACATCCATTTCTAATGCCAAAAAATAAAAATAAAAATTATAAGTGTACCTGTAATAGTAATTACACTAGGTTGACTGTGATACCCATGGAACGACGATGGGGGGTTGACTATGCTCGTAACCAACTCTCCCAAGCCAGCACCTGGGGAGAGAAGATTCTTTCCCCCCACCAAGTATTGAATATTTACTCCCAGGCCCCAGCCATAGGTTTCCATGGCTTCAGACTGGCATTGAAGCAGAAACACTTGATAGGGTCATCTGAAAGTAACAAATAGTGTTAATGAATTGCATTCAAAAAATTACTGTGTTTTACATCACAAATAACTTCTATTTACAAAATTGTAGCTCAAAATGCCACAACCAGAATACTACAATCTTCTGAGCCATATCCCCTCCGTTCTTTATTGGATTACTAACAAAAGAACATGTAAATACATGAAAAAATAGTTCCATGAACGTCGTCCTAGTCATGGCGCCAACGATTTTTCCATCTCCAACGACATCATATCAAATGAGTGACATTCTCTTCTGACGAACATGAGAAACACGACATCAGGAAAAATGTTTTTCTCCTATTTTCAAGCAAATTGTGCAGTGAGATGTATCAAAAACCCTAAATTGTCATGCAAAACACATTACGTTATGTTATCATGGGTGTGCATGCTTTGATTAAATCAGTATGTAAATGAAAAATCTACCAGCTTCAAAATGTGAAGATATACCGCATCTACTTCTGGTGTCCAAGAAATGAATTTAACGAACTAAACAGGAAGCTGTGAAATCTTTGAACTCTAACAGAAAAACCATTTGAAGAGTTTGCTTGGTCATGGCATGAAATACTCAGAGGCACGGTTCTCCTTTTTCTTCTTGTTCGCCAAAGGAAGTCTTCTGTATCTAAAACGTAAGAGACCTACCACATACCAATTTGCTCCATTTTAGTAGAAAGAATCATGTTTCAGATATGCTATAGAAGCAACACAATAACGTCTCATTCTTCCTCACATACTATAAGAAATTGAACTTTTCAGATTACCTTGGACAAATTGCAAGCAATCTTACATTCCAGACCATTAACAACTTTAATTCCATCCATAGCCTCGCATGTAGCAGAAACTTCATCTCCACAGGCATATTTGCGTTTATTTCTGCAATACAGGCAGGACAGAATAAGCGCACGACAACTAGCAGCCAAACAAGTTTAAACAGTTTCTCTATCGCCTACAAACCTCCTCAAGAAAATCCCTGGCTTCTCCTCGTTGGCAGGAACAACCGAGAGAAAGTCATTTATCAAATAAGCTTCAAAATTGGGGTCCATAGAAACAGTTGGCACTTTATCATGCCCATAGTCCATAAGTTGGATTGACAAACAAGTTGGTGAAGATGACTGCAGTTAAATCAAATATCATATATCAAGACACATTTGACAAACACTATTGTTTATCACCCCGTTGGTGTCCCAAATTTCCAACCCAAAATATATAGGAAAGAAAAAGTATTGAGGACATACACATTCAATCCGATATATATTCTCATCGTGGAGGACATGGGTGTTTTCATGATAAACTACATCGACAAAATTCCCAGGTTTTCTTGATTGCTCATATGCAAATAGCTGGAGAAGTTTGTTGTCTATCTCATCAGTTGCCATTGTTTGTAGCTACAGAAGATGCCATGGAAATTAAACTTGTGGTCAGAGAGGGAGGGAAGAAGAATGTTTAAAAACAAAGAAAATGATTTTTGCTCATATTACCTGTTTGACAAGTTTAAAAATCAGCTTGTCTAATGTGAACAGAACATATGATGCAGTCCCGATAATTTCTCGGCAGTCATCCTCAAACTTTGCGTTATCAGAGGAACCGTCCAGTAGATTGTGAAGTGCATTCATGAATCTGTAAGACATATTCAGGGGATTAAAGGTAACTAACACTGATCACCTACAACGAGCTTCATATGAAACTAACAAAAGTAAACTACCTGGCATAGGAATCACTTGACATTGTATCATTTGAAGCCCTCCATTTGTTTTCAGCAGATGAGGAATGAAATTTTGCTTCTTTTATTCTACTATACAGTGTCTGTTAATTTGAGAGAGTGAGAGAGAGCCATCATAAAGAAAACTCGTAAGCTCAATCACAAAATTACCTGTCTGGAATACTTTCAGAATAAAATAAGCCTTACTTGATGAAGCCTAAAAAGCACATAGAAGGAATCATTTCCATAGAAAACCCGAGAATCATGTTTCCTGTCTTGTAATGCTGAATGACCATGCTTTGTAAGAGGCTTAACTGTTTTTAAGAAACGCTCTGACAGTGGCAACAGTATACCATCCCCATCAACATCAGGGGAATCAGTCATCCCTTCCGAGTCACCTTCACCCTCAGTTTTGTTATCATTCTCATGATGTTCTCCATCTTTTTCACGCTCTTCTTGTGAGCTATCTTCTCCAATACCAGACCCACTGCCTGAAACATCACCATTTTCTGAACCATTCTCACAGTCCTCTGATGACCTCTGATCACTTTCCTCACCTTCATCATCAGAAGCAGCATCATTCTCTTGTCCGGCCTCTCCACAACTAAGTTCTTCTCCATGTCTGGCTTGATATTGCCTGCTCACAAAACCATCCCTCGTTTTATTTGCAGCCTCTGTTCCAACATCTCCATATGCTGCAAAACTGTCCTCAAAATCTCCATTTGGGGACAATTCACCTTCCTCTCTTTCAATTTTAAAATGCCCGATGGACTCCTCATGATACTCCTGAACTCCAATGCCCCCAGCTATTGCCCCGTTGGAAGATGACACTGGTCTTGTACAATCACCACCCTATAGCATTGAATAAGATCAGAAAATACATTACAGGGAGACACAATGACTACAGATTCATCATAGGATCAAAATACCAAAACAAAATCCTGAACTTAGGTTGCTGATCATCTGACGGATTCAATATAGGATCACAATCATCAAAATCCAAATCTGAAATTTGGTCATTGATCAGCTAATAGACTCGATACAGAGTCAGAACTATCAAAATAATTCCAAAAATTGCTAAATGATCAGCTATGAGACAATAGCCCTTTCCAAAATCAGAATGTCCTATCAATTTAGATTGACAGGATCCACACGGTGCAGCAGTTTATGAGAACTTCCCTATCATCTGACCAAAGTGAAACCAGATATAGAACTGCTTGATCAACACCAACCCAACAAGGCAGTGTACAAATTTAAGCATCTTTAGATTCCCTCTCAATTCATATATCAAGCCCAAACCATGTGATTCATGGTATCAACTATAGTAAACATCCTCATAAGATGCAAATATATAGCTACTTGGTGCCCCATGACCATTAAGAATTTGAACATAGAAGGTTATATCCGCATCACATGGTGGGTCATTTAGGGGTTTGTTGCAAACTGGGCACACCGTTTCCATCCATATTCCTATTCTTGACATTAAACAATCAGGGACCAAAGTGCAGCTGGTGTAAACCTAGGCATGACAAATGTAGATGCCCAAAAATATTAATCATAGGAGAAATATAACCATTAAATGATATAATTGGAAGCTAAATACATACAGTTTGAAACAGACACGTACGGAATGTAGCATGATTTGTAGTTTTTATTTTTGCTTTTGTGATGTTATACTTCACCTAAAATTGTAATTTTTCCTATTGATTATCTGTTAATAAAATTTACAGTTTCCAATCAAAATAAATAAATAAATACCGTTTTAAACTGGCATAATTTCATAATTGAAGGCTCCGACGCCCGAGACCAAAGGAACTCTATTTGTGATGGTACTGAGTTCCCCCACTCTGCCTCTTATTTACAATGACTAGTTTTGGATCTTGTGCATGCCTACCAATAGATAGTGGACAAAACCCTACAACAAATCACATCTCCACCACGAAACAACACTCTCATCCGGCTTTTATTAACATCATCGATGTGCCCATTAATGAATCTGAAGCTCGTGAAAAAGAAGCACAAATTCAAAACCACTAATGCCTCTCATGTTGCAAGAAGGTTCAAAATCCTAGATTTCGTTTTGTTTTTTGAAATTGCAAATAATGATATGGTCATTTTTGTGGTGATTTCATCCCAACTATGGTATGTTTTTCTTAGATCTTGTGGATAACTTTTTGAAATTTTTGGGGGTTATTTGTCAAGGGTTTGTGTGTGTGTGTGTGTGTGCGCATGAGAGAGAGAAAGATGGTCACGAGCCGAGCCAATTCTAAAAATATGAGCTACAAGCTGAGCCAAGCTTGAACAAAAATCCAAGCTCAGTATGTCAGCTCTAGACTCTAGCTGAGCTTGAGTATTTGAACCTAATCTTGAGCCAAGACTGAGCATACCCAAACTTGAGGGGCTTGGCTCGATTGACACCCTTACTTAAGAGTAAATACTATCTTATTATTAATGAGAGGAAGGTAAGCAAGACAAACATAATTCACAAGAAATGAAGTTCATCAACTTGATAAAATAATAAATATCAATGTCGTAAAATTGTTGCCCGCAACTTTAACTATACCTCTGATGAAGGTAAAATTTCTCTCTGAGGCCTCATCTCAAGACTGTTGTCAACAGCAGCATTACCAGGTCCGGAAGGAAAAGTGCAAAGCCCTAGAAATGGGAAGATGTAACTCCGAATTTCAGCCATAAATTTGAGAAAAAACTGGCATGCCAAGGACTGGAGAGAAAAGAAATGAAATTAACATACATTATACAAGACCATATACAAACCTAAAGTATTTTCGCCGTTGACTCTTCCAAGATTTTTTTCTGCTCCAGCGGCAAGTGATATATTTGAATTGGCTAGCGGTTCATTCAAAGCAACTTGTTTGCTGACCCCAGATGTTTCATCCGCCACATTAGCATTCGTCTTCATTGTTCCATGTTTAGGGATTTTACAAGTATCACCCTTCTGTGTAACATGATCTGCGTCAAAAGAACCATCTTCTTTAAACCCATTATTGCCATTTACTAACCATGCTCTGGAGGAGCTTGAATGTTCAGGTTGAGTATTCTCATCTCCACTTGTGCAAGTATGTGATTGTTTGCAATTAATGATAGCTCTGCCACTAGGACTGCCATCACTTTTTCCCACAATAGCGGCCATACTTTTCGCAACATAATTTTTAGCCATCACAACACCTTCAGTGTCTTTGGGGCTTCGAGACCATGAAGGAACACCAAGAATTGGTTCCAGGAAGGTTGTCCAGATCTTCATGACCTTGTCCACCTGTTCAGCTGTACAAACTTCTCCACAGGAATATTTGATTAACTGATATAATTCTTCATGGATGTCTGAATCAGGGTACTCCAATTTCATATCCGGAACGATATGTCGTATATTTCCAGCAGCAATAGATAACAGCACGTCATCCTCTTTGATCTTCTTTTCACTGATTTCTTTGATCTCAGCCAACAACACTGTGTGAGACAAAACCACAAAGTTAATACATGAGAGGAGGCCATGGCAAACTCATGATTTCGCTGAGTTCATGGGATCATAACATTAAACAAAAATTCAAATCGATCATCTTACAGTATCTCTGGAAGTTAATGTGGCTACTCAAGACTGCTTCAATGTAGAGAATTAAAAAGGTTACTAAAACGATCTCATTTGTGTTCTATACTGGTGATTTCGCTGAAAGTGTGTTTTACAATACCAAATTTCCGTTTCAGTTACTGAGGCCACCGAAATCTTCCCATATTGTCTGAGAATTTTGAGAAGCCCATATTGACACAATTATCATTCCAAATTGCAACGGGAAAAAGCAATGAGGAAAAAAAAAGAAGACAAGCTCAGGCCCTGTTTCGTTTTGGAAGAAGAGAAGGAGGATGTGCGAGGATGGTATATTAGCATCACTGTACATTTTTTTACGGAATTGTTCCATGATCAAGCACTAGTACCCAAGTGGCCTCTTTTTCAACGATGATTTGGGAGGAGGAACAAGAGGAACAGGAGAAGGGACAGGGGAGAAATGGATTACCATCATTTCACCATTTTAGAAGTTTCTTCATAGTCAAGCTCCACGAGCCCATTTAATTTAATAAACCCACAATCTATATATAACCCTTCAGCTGCATATCCACTCATATTGCTGTTACTATTGATAATGATTGGTTTAAGGTTGTACCCCTTTAGAGGCCAAGGCCGTCCGGGCTTGCAGAAAGTGGCTCAAGCAGCTCACCCAAATAAACTCTCCTGAACACAAACTAGGTCACAGACTGGTTGCAGGGAAGTTTAGAGTAACAAGCCTAGTACGATAACAAACAGGAGCCACAGGGCCAGTCTACAAAAGCTGCAGCATAACATGTGGACATGGGACAAGGGAACATTACCCGACAGCTCTGATGAACAAAAATCCATAGGTAGTGGAGACAGAACAAGAACTACAATTGGCGAGTAGTGGATTCAGAAAGGCTTTGGGGACCACAACACTAGGATAAAGACAAACACAAAAGGGACTACAAAATCAGACAAAAAAGACAAACACGAAATCCTAACTACCAGTTGTATATATAGCCAACAGGACTAATGTGCACGAGAGGAGACATCCTGTAAGCCACCAAGTAAAACCTAAGCAATGTCTTGTAAAGGCTTCAAGCCAAACACCCTATAATAGTAACCTTTTTCCCCAAGCAATACAATCCCAAGGAACAAAAATCTCCCTTACGGTGGACATAACCTTAGTCCTTCACCTAAGGCGAACCACTCATATTTTGTCTTCCTCTACATATAGCATACGCCTCCACACTCACGTTCTCCCAGATACCCAAACACTATTCGGACTTCACCCAAGTCTGTTCTGTAACCCGGTCTAGTTAATTTACACCATCAACTATCAAATTCACCTTCTCTTTGAAAATTATATTCATGACGAAATTGGCCTTAACATTGCTAAATTGGCAAATGAAAAATTAATAATGTACACAAACAGGAAAATAATTACCTTTAGTGCTCAAGTTCTTTTTGTCTTGTTGCTTGAAATAGAAGCTGCGATGATCGAGTGATTTGTGATGGTTCTTAGCAAAGATTTCAGCCCAAACTTTACTAAAATCAAAACGACAGCTTGTCCACTCTTCTTGTTTCTGCTTCAAGCGGGTTAATATTATGGGCAGCGCAAGAGGTGCATTCTTCTTTAATACATCAATCACATCAAGCCCATGGTCACCATATAAACGTTCAATGCACCTCATATTCAGAGCTACATAACAACAAAGAGAAAAGCATTCAACATGACAGCATACATGGCTATCTTGAAGAATTAGTGGCCAGATTATCATCTATCACCTGTCAAATGGTCTTCAATACAAATCAGACTCTCTGGCTGGAATGCTTTGTTATTGATCTTGTCTAGTAGTTCTTCTACACGTTTTGCTGTTGCATTCACATTTCCTAACAACATGTCCAGTTCAAACCTGACATCATGAAAACATTACCAATTGCCAAACCCAATCTACGCAAAATATTAACCAAATGTATATTTCAACCAATCGACTCTGCAAAAAGAGAAAGAGAAGGGAGAAAAAGAGAGATCTAAGTATTATCCATATTACTATTATCTTGCTAACGAAAATGATATGTTGGCATATTACAACTTTGCAATTGGCAAAAACTTAAGTTTTGTACCAAAAATAAAACTTAACTTCAACAAAAAAACTCCAGCATCCCTTAACTAAGCTGGTAGCTAAATTCCTAAGTTAAGCTGAAGCCTAATGAGGAAGAAATGGAATTGATTGTAAAAACAAAGACTAAAGAGAAAAAATTTGACTCGATGTGCATGTAAGATAAGAAAGACAAAACAGGTAAAGGTCGCGACAGATTACTGTCTCAAGACAGTTTCAACCTGTCATCTTCGCATCGGAACAAGCTTTCTTCATACTGGTTTTTGCGCATATGTTTAAAAGAGTAGTCCTCACTTCCTGAAGTGACGGACACCAAAAGACTATTCAATACTTCAGCTTCAGCCTCTTCAGTCTGACTTGCTAAAGGAGATGGATACTACATCCAAAAACATCAAGGCAATACCAAATAAGAAACTTTGTAAGAAAAATGTTGCAGAATAAGAAATTTTGTAAACGAAATGATCTAAAATAAGAAATTTTTATGACAAAATTTCCTACATTCTTCGGCCAAAAAAGATAACTAGGTGAACAGCGCTCCCAGTTGGAGAGGTCAAGTTCTTGAATTGATTTTTCCATGTACTTATCCTTGCTAGAATATATAGACATCTTTTGTCCTGCTATATCTTTACTTCGAAAGTCTAGACCTTTGTCAGATCTACCCCTTTCTCTGTCGTCACAATCCTTATATCTGTGTCCCTTCTCGTGATCTCGTTCTCTATCCCTATCATCTACCTTCACAGAACCGAGTAACAATGATCCTGCAACAAATAAAAACCAGTTTATGATTAGCAAACTATACACAATTTCAATATATTTCAATGCATTACACAATTGTTTGCTCAGAACTTCTACTTAATATGTGATTCCTTAGTGATATAATGCCTGAGCACCTCTCTTGATAATGAGCAAAGAGGAGCATCTCAAATAAATACAACTAGTGAAGAATTAAACCTTTTACTTACTTTTATTCACGAAACCAGCAAGACAACCATCTGCAGGAAAGGTCCAATCCAAACATATTAAATCCACAAATACACAATCAAGATTAGGCCACTTAATATGCAGTAACCTGCTTATATAAAAGCAATAACAAAAATGAAAAATTACCAATCTTCGCATATTGAGCTAAGAATTCATCAAACCCTTCCATAAGGTCTGGATATCTTCCTAGAAGATCATCCACCTGATGCAAATGACACATAAGAATGTCAAGCAAATTTCACGATTAGGCATTTCTTCAACATCTTTACTAATATCAGGTCATGGCCTTGAGCCAAAAACAAGGGGCATACAGGTGGGTACCACTCAGAATTTATCTCCCAATGGTTGAAACATCTGCCTGTTGTCAATGGGCTCTATTTTTCAAACCATCTTGGTGATTATCCCTCTGTTTATCTCCTATTGAAGTTACTTTTACCATTTCTTGAGTATATTCTTTGTAATTTTATTATTTCTTGTTTTACCCTCCATATTAACATCTGATATCTACCAAAAAAAATTTTCGCGTGTTGTTTCTTAGTTGCCCAATAGTCCAGCAATTAATTCAAAAACACGAACAATTATAAGACATACCAAAGACTGCAATTGTGCACGCGTTATTATATCTTTGTTGTAGATATGAAGGCACTTTAAAAATTCCTGGTATTCATCAGAATTGCATAATCTCTCCTTCACCTTCTCACAGAAAGCAGACTCCTGGTTGCAAATACCTGTCCCAACATAAAATAGGGTGAAACCAAAGAAATGAGGACTGATGGTTAGAGCCAATCAAAAATACAAAGGGCTCATGTGGACAAAAACAAGTCATTGAACAAAAAACGAACTTAAATAAGTTGTAATCAGACAGATCCCACCCACACAGAAAAAGGGGAGGATGATAAGTGTCAATGCAAAGGATTTATATACCAGCAACTTATAAGCAAATTGTGACAGGCTCACAGCAGTGTTCTCCAAGTATCACCTATGACAATTATACCAGATTACTTGCAGGAAACCGAAAAGAAAGATACAGAATTAGTTGGTTTATTTACCCAAAAAAAAAAATGGAAAAGAAAGATCTTCATACTGAACACATACACATAGACATCTCAAAAGAGGAAGGGGACTGAGTGGCATCCAGGTGACTGCAAAGGAAGTTGAGGTGCTCTATCAATACTGAATTTACGACATCCAATTACATGAAATTCTTACATATAGAGCCCGCGTCCATTGACTTGAAATATTTTTGTCATTATATATTTGAAATGGGGAAAGTAATGTGCCCTTATCCAGCTCGAGATCCATTAAACCACGGGCTTATAAAGTACAAAGGCCAAAATCATCTCACTACCTAGACAACTTTCTTTGAAATGTTGATCTGAAAAATTAATTGCTAAGATCTCCCACTAGTTAGTTACAAAAGCAGGGTGTTCCAATTTACGTATCTGAAGAGATCCCCTCCACTACAAAATGCTCCAATTATGTAAACTGAACAACCATAGAAATGAACAACTGATATATCTTTTGAAACAATGACAATGTCAACTATGTGGATCTACACAGAAACAGAAACTTATAAACTAAGAGACCAAAAAACTCAGTTTTAGAAGAGAAAGTATCCCTGCAAAAGAGGGCTCATAAAACTCCAAGTGAGCAGAAATAACCATGGAAATTGTTCAAAAAAAAAAACCAAACACCCATGGATCATCAGATCAGCAGTAAAGTGACTGGATTCCTCTTTGAATTTCAGAAAGTACATTCAATTTTTTATGCCGTGAATTAAATAGTCATATTAGATATAGAACCACAAAATAAATACCCAAATAACACAAGTACTCACATTTCAAGGAACTTCTATCACTGTAAGTGGATGTACCTATTCCTGTTCCAAAGAGTTCAGCTTCTTCCCCACCGTGGTGAAATTGGTCAGCAACAGAGTCTTCCCTGCGAGCAGATTTTCGTTTATGGAAAAGACCTTCTTGATCAAAGTCTCTATCATCCCACTCTCGTCCTCTTCGGTCTCTGTCTTCCCTTCTTTCCTTCACAATTTCACTACGCCTCCGCTGTTCTTTGGCAGTTCTCATTACTGCTTTATCATGGCCAGGTTCTGGCCGGTCAACACTGCGGTCATAGTCAACATGTGAAGCAGTAGCCTTCTGGTAACAGCCCACAAGAACATAATATCAGCTTAGATAACCTAAAAGAAATAAGAAACTACATCTCCTATTGGTGGGGATTGAGAAACTACCTTATCAACATGCACAGGCCTCATTATGGTCATTGGTGAGCCCCTATCATCACGACGCGAAATGGAATTCCTACCAGGCGGAGCATAATGAACAGAGGTTGCTACCAAAGGATCAGGTAGAAAATGAGTGAACTCCTCAAGCAGGTCATGATTGTCGTGGAAAAGAGCCGCAACCTGCAAAAAGATGGAAATTGATCACAAAACTAAGAGCAAGAACTCTGTGGCAACCCAAACAGCAAAAAAAAGTGGTTGATGGCAAGAAAATGCAAGTGTATACCTCCTGTTTGACCTCAGCAGTGGACTTTTTTCTTTTTTGTACATATTCAAAATGGAAAGAAAAGATTTGTACACCCGATCGTCACCTTGAAATCTCATCTGTGAGCATGTAAAACCCTAAATGAAAAACCAAGAAGGCAAAGCTAAATGCAGAATTCAACTATGCCTGATTTTTCACATTTTTCACCTTGATTTTGTTCACAAAGTCCATTGCTTCATCAAATTGGACCAGTTTCTTCACCCGATGAGGTATATCATCGGGTAGAAGGGTAATCTCGTATCCCTTTGGTAAAAAGGTATTGAAACCCAAAATTAGGTCTCGATGCCCTTTAAATAATTCCTTTACTCTTGCTATGACACCAGCTGTGTCAATTCTACAAACAATTAGCATTAAAAAATCAATGACATGTTCCAGGCAAAAGTTGCTACAAATAACTAAAACAAACAACACTACGACCAGACCTTTGAGACTTGAAATCCTTCATAACTTCAAGAAACTCATCATATTTTTTCTTGTTATCTTGAAATCTTTCCTTCACTGCTCTGAGGTATGCTAGGGCATCGTTTGTTGTTAGTTTCTGTATGCTGCTTCCACCCATCATCTGGGGTTGTCCATGCCCAGACCTGTTGTCCAAGAAACTTGAATAAGTCTATACTAGATAAACATTTCTCATGTCAAAATAAGAAGCATATATTCTACAGAGGAAGAAAAAAAGGACTAGTTGGGTCTTCAATCATGATATTTCCCAAGACAAAAACAAATGATTTTTTTTCATCTGGAAAATGATACAGAGAATCACGACACTGGAAAACGGAGAGATAACTATTAATTTTCAAAGCCTCTCTTCAGAAGTAAAGCAAAGAATCAAGCTAATAATAAACTAGCAAATAAAAAAATGTTCAACAACTCTACAAAATGTCTATAAAAGTCTCACTTGCAAAACAAAAAAGAATGAAAAATAAAACATAATTAAGAATTTCTTCATCTCAGAGTTCACATCATTCTTCAAAACCAAACATAAACCAACTCATCAAGAGGCAACATAATCACATATTCCTAGAGTATTCTCTTAACACAAAATTACCGAGAGAGAGAGAGAGAAAACACTTACGGTTGAGGGCGAGAAGAGACGATGGGGCGTTTGAGTTCAGAACTCATATACACATCATCTCTAGACCTCTTCATTATCTTTCTCTCTCTTGTAACTAACTCTTTTAAATCTTCAACAATTCATTCCTTATTCACTCTGAATGCTCCTATTACAAACAATACAATTAAGACAACAATACACAATCGATCTTACGTAAAATCACAAAGCAAAATCAACAAGAACAATTGATCATAATTCGTACCTCTTAGCAGAGATCACCTTCAGAAAATCAAATTCCACACAAACAGAAAATAAAACTCGATCACATTACTTGAATATAAAGCAAAAGATAATAGAATTCATCACTATATCACAATGCTTTAATCAAAAGAGAGGAGTTCACAGCGAGAACACGAATTTCTCTAGTCGGTGAATAGGCGAAGCTCTGAATTAACGAATGACGTACTTGCTTCGCTTTAAGTTGTATGTGTATTCACACACACATGTGATTGTGTGTTTCATCATATGTAGAACACTCCTGTTCTCTCAGAGGATGCGATAGAGAGAGAGAGAGAGAGAGATTTAGAAATATAAAACACTAACAGAAGGAGAACAGGGGTGCGGGAGATAGTCGTTTTGACGGGCCTTTCACGGTAGGCCCGATGGGCCGGTAAACTGGCTATAATAGTAAAATTGACAAAAAACGGATTTCATAAAAAATAAATTTTCTTGACAGATTTAAATTCAAACAAGTCCATATCGGAATCGATCTCCAAATTTCCCTTAAGTAAATTCCATTATTTGCAAACCTGGGCCAAGTTACTCGCACCACCCAAAAGAAAAGAATGGATCAAGAGGGTGGGCCTACATGGATTAGGTGAAATAAAGGAACCACGTTTATGTACTTCGCTCCAAATCACTTGGTGGAGTGCGTGCGAAATACGATATGACAAGGCTGGAATTTTAGACATGGGCCACCATAATTTTGGAGTCCAATAAATTCAGAAAACCCTCATCTGTCTATTAAGTCAAAGGGGGAGCCCAATCAACCTGCGTCGAAGAGTAGAGATGGCCAAAAGGAAAATGCCCAACAGCACAGGCTAGACCCAACTCAGCGACCAGCCAAAGGATGACCCAATACTAGCCAAGTCCTTGCCCTGGGAACACCTAGCAGTGCCACGTGTCCAAAGGACAGGGAGACCATCTCTGACGCTTGGGGCAGCTGCACCCTTTTCAGACACAGAGAATGGTAGTGCACATAACGATCCTGAGATCATGGGCATAGCGGCGCCGGATGGCAAAGACTGTTGCAAGACAGTGATGGGAGACCCCACATAATCAATAGAGAAGGTAAAAGGTGTTACTGGGAACCCTAGAAGGAAAGACTGGTATAAATAGAACAATGTTAGGTTACTAGAGGGCTCTTTCTCTTCCCCACAGCATCTCCTAGCCCCAGATATACAACGAATTAAGCATAAACCCTTATAAACGGCTCAGTGCCAACATTCTCGATATACTCTTCTGATCTCAATATACGACCTTAAGGAGCTAGAGACTCCATTTATAATGGATGTAGTCTTGGTCTTTTAGTTAAGGTGAATCACTTACACCGTGTGCCTTCCATTATCCACAAGTCAACCTCATATTCAATTGAATTCACCAATCCAAGTAACAACTCACCCATTAGGTTTGGGCAGTTATTTTTCGAGCCCCCATCACTATATAATGTGTTTGCTTAAACACCTAAGATTATGTGTGATATTATATCTCCATCGTCTAAATTCTTAAACTTATTCAAGTGAAGTATAAAGAAAAAATTGATATGTTGTCATGATCTTTCTTTATCTGAAACACTAGGGGTAGCTTCAAAGCGGAATTGATCAGTAGTGGTTGGTCAAAGCTCGATGATCATCAATGAGATTCTTCAACAGAGTTGGTCATAAGTTGTAGGTGTGGGTAAGGTGCGATCTTCTCGCTCTGGGTTCCAATCTATATGAATTTCGAACGGTACAAAGTGTACCTCTTTCGTAGAGAAAGGCAATAACCTAACCTTTAAGAACCTGTTCAGGAAAGGGGGGAGTCTAGTACACAAAGTGGACATCACAAAAATCTACATTAGACCTTAACTCATGCAAAAATAGTATGTGCACTAAATTTATGCACTAAATAATCGTCAAACGTTATATTAGTGAGTCCCACTATCATCCAACAACTAACAATTATTTTATGCATAATTTTTTGTGCACATAACATTACTCTAATTCATGAGGTATGAAGACTTCAAGGCCTCTGGTATAGTTTGGGTGGATAGTGTTGTATACAACCTATCCTCTGCAACACGATGAATTTTTAAAATTTTTTAACTTTGATCAACCTATACTTCGTATCAAATCGATCTTGGGCTAGGTCACCTACTAGTGGTCTAAGGGCTTATTTGAATGGATTTTGGGAGAGGGTTTAAATTTTTTTTTTTTTTTTTGGAGTGTGAGTGGGAGTGGGAAGGGGAGGAGAAGGAGGAAACCCTTGATCTAAAAAAGGCAAAACTTTTACGAGGTAAGATTTTTTTTTTTTTTAAATTAACTTCTTCAAATCCTTCCAAATCCAAACCTCTGCTTACAAAGATGGGATTTAACATTGAATCTATTGCATATCTATGTTTGGTATGCGACACATACAAATGTATGACCGACAAAATTATCACAATTATTAACAACTATTTGTCATATAAATGACTATGTCGCCCCATTGATCAATCCAATCCATATCCATGTTTGTTCAGGTACATTTTCTTGTATTCTTATGAATATTATATTTGATTTTTTTCCTTCCTAACTTTATCAAATAAAATATTAATATTGATCAAATATAATTAGAGAGGAAGCTACCCAAGAGAACTTTCAGCTCCTATAACAATATTTATATTAAGAAAAGAGAACATTTAAGCAAGAGAAAACAAGAATGTTGTAAGAGGTATAATTATTTTTTGTCATTCTTAACGAGTTAACCCTCTTCCAAAACCCACCCTCTCTTTCAAGTTTGACGAAACTCATATTTATGTGGTTCAGTCTCGGGGCTAGCTGCGAGCTGAGCTTGATAACTCAAACATGAGGTTTGAGAGTCTTTTGAACTATTTTCTCCAAATCTAAACACCAATCCCACCCAAACCCACAAAACAAATAGGCCTGTAGTTGGCTTGAATACTAAACACATAAGCATGAGTTTCGTTAAACTTAGGGAGTTGAGTTCAGAAAAATAGGTTAAGGGGTTAAAGATACAAAAAATAATTGTATCCCTTAATATGAATATAAATTAGATTAGTCAAAAGACCAAATAATTATTTACAAGATAAATAATTGTTAATAATTAAGATATATCCGTTGATCCTATATATATATATATATGTGTTGTATATTAAATATGAATATGAATTAAATTTAATGTTGAATCTCTTATTTATAAAAAGAAAATTTGAGTTTAGGAAGATTTGAAGCAACCAATTCAAATCTTTCCTAAAAAATCATTTAAATAAGTCCTAAATATTACGCTTTCTTCGAGTAAATTAAGTTAACCAAAAGGTTGGATGCACAGGGGCTACCTCCCCTGGTACCAAAAGAATGGGTGGTCTCTCTGGGACACGAGCTTTCTCCATAGAATTTACAAGAGCTACCTCCCCTAGAATGGTCACACCCCACAGCCTCAAAGGAGAATCTCGTACACATGACAATTAATTCCTGCAGTCTTTTTATAAGAACATTTTCGATTTATTACTTAAATTTAAATTAATATTTAAATAAAAAATTTAATTTAATATAAATAACCCTAATAGATAAATTCAAATTTAAAGAAGGAGAGAGTCAAATCTAAATGAGGGCAAACCCAAATTTAAAAGGGAGCAAAGATGACAATTGAATTTTTAAAATATGATGAAATTTCACTATTAAAGATTTGAGTAAAGATTTGATACTCCCTTGATTTGAGTAAAAAAATGAGTTTCCTTTGATTTGTTATAAGTTTGAGTCAAGGGTTAGAACAATTTTTTTAGATTTTTTTACTTAAATTTAAATTTGAGTGAGTAGATAGACCCAAGAGAATCTCAAAAATGAAATTGTCTAATATAAGAGTAATAATATATGAACTTAAAAATTAAATTTGATAACAATAACTATTGATTTTATTGTGGCTTTCAGCATTTATTTGGTCCCACTACCTATTCAATGGTTGAGATTAATCAAATTTAATTTTTAAGTCCATGTAAAATTATACTTTGATAGTTTAAAAATAATTTTTTGATACTTTACGTCTATTTTTTATTTAATTTAAACATGACGTGTGACAAGTTATATAGTATTGTGTTACTGTATTTGATAACCAAAATATAAGGTTTAGGATCTTTTTTTGGGTAGTATTAAAAAATTATTTTTTAATATTATAGTGTTGTTCTTAATGGTTAAAAAAAATATATGCACTCACATATGTATACATGACAATTTTAGAATATATAAACAAATTATTAGAGGGAGATATTTGTTAATATATTTTTTCTTCAATTTTGTTCTTAATATCATCCATCATCATGCATTCAAATAAGACCGATTGCATATAAATGAGTCTCTCGCTCATTAATGATGGATAATGTGTTAATAAGATATTTGAAGAAAGAGTGTACAAGAGAAGATCTCGATCCCAAAATGTTGGATGTTAATTGAATTAAATTTTATTTTTAAAAATCAAGAAAAGGGTAAATTTAAAGTCCTCTCCCCCTCACCCCCTCCAAAAAAAAAACATAATGTGTAAATATGATTAAGTGTAGCCAACAAATAACACTGTCACAAGATGTTTCATAAGCACCCAATATTTTTTCAACTTTTTACGGAGACAAAATGGACATGGCGGATAGCTTGATTCGGAAGAGTCCCTTTCTTGTAATAACAAAAAAAAAAAAAAGAAATATAAATAATTGAGACATTTTAAATAAAGCATGCGAGTCTGTGACTCTTCTGTTGTACAGCTAACACGCTGCTCATGATAAGATATGCCCGTCGCAAGGTGGTGTGCATAGCATAGCATAGCCGAAGGCCATACAGATCTTTTCTTCAACTGACACAATACTTAATTATTAGTTGCAACTGACACAACTCATTGGGTGTACCAAGGTGTGTATGGTCTCCAGAACTTAGCCAGATGTGTTAGACAGAACTTTACTTTGTACATTGCAACCTTGCAAAAGCTTCAACATCATCAAGTGTAACTATAAAACAAGCAACCCCACCTCAACCAGAACAAAAGACAACGATTAATGTTATTATTTGTAGGCCCAAGAGATACAGCCTTACAATAGATAGATTAAACAAATAGTATCCTACTTGTTTTCTTCATGCTTTTTGACAGATGTAGAGGCCTAGAACAGCGACAAAAATGGTTGAAAATAAAAGGCATAAAGAAAAGTTAACACAAAACAAGGTCCTAGTTACCTTCGTAAGCACGAGAGGTCAGAGAAAGTCATAAAATAAACACAAAGTTAAATCAATAAATTTTATGGTGTCATATTTTATTCAACGTGTATCTTACTTATTTGTAGTTGTATATATTAGAGATTTATATAGTTAGAGTTAATAATCGAATTGAGCTATTCAAGTTCAATTTATTTTGGGTTTATTCAGGTTCAGTTTGATTTTTAAATGAGTCGAAAATAAATTAAATTTGAACAATTTTTTAGATTTGTTTAAAAAATAAATTTAATAGACTCAACTCAAACTGAACATACTTGGCTTTTTTTATGCGTAAATACTCAAGTTTGACTTGAATTCAATTTATTTTGAGCTCGTTCAGACTTAACTCGTTTAAAAAATGTAACTTGAATAATTTATTAGACTCATTTAAAAAAACGAGTTCAACATATTAGACTCGATCTCCTTCGATTATCAGCTTCACGTATACACTGATATTTTGAAAAGGTGGGGGAGATATCAGTATAATTATGTTAAAGGTTGGGGGGTCAGTGTAAAAATTACCCCAAACTAAAACAAACCAAGATAAGCTTTTTTTTTTTTTTTGATCCAAACCCAAGATAAGCTCAATCAAACACTTTCTCTGACTACTTTCTTACAGTCTCTCGCCGACACAAACCGGATTACCAGAGGAGTGACGAACCTCAACCCAACAGCTGTCCGCACCCAACACCATCCACACAAAAATCATACCCAATTCCCTTCAACCTCAACAGATCCAACTCCGATAACTCACTTATTTCTTCCCACAAAAGCCACCATGGATCCTCCAGAGCAACGTCGCAAGAGAAAACGATTCGTCAGACCACCATACTCTCCTAAACACTTACTCTCTGTAAGATCTCTCACCTCATCCTTCTTCTTCCTCACTTTCCTCTACTTCTTATCCTTTCGATTTTTTCCCATAAACTCATCCACCTTTCACCCCATTTTAGTAGTTTCAAGCTTATCTTTGCTGTCATCCTCTTCAAGTCGTTCAGTTCAAAATCATTTCAATGGCGATGATTTGTTGTCGTCATTAAGAATAGAGGATCGGGTTCTTTTTCCCGACCACGTCTTGCTATTGGTGTCGAGTACGAAGAGGAATATAAAGAATAGTGAAGGAATGGAATGCGTTTATGGAAGAAATCTCTTTAAGCGTTATGATTCTTCTGATGGCGTTGCTGCTGTTAAGCATAGTGTTTTGTCAGTGGATGAGTATGATGGGTTTCGATTTATCGCCAGGTGTCCGGTTCCACCGGCAAATCATTCAGCTGCAGTGAATTTACAGAGGCGTGGAGGGAGTGTGGCGGAATTGGGTGGTGATTATGGTTTGTTGAAGAGCAATCAGACGGTTTATTCTTGGGAAAATGTGGCATATGCGGCGGTTTTGGATGGGAAAACGGTGGTGGTGTTTGTGAAGGGATTGAATTTGAGACAAGAAAGGAAATCAGATCCTACCCAATATAGCTGCCATTTTGGTTTGAGGAATTGGGAGAGAGATGGAGGATTTGCACTTGCAACCAGAGCTATTACGGCTGCTCAAGAGGTTGTGAGGTGTTCTTTGCCAAGGAGTATGAGGAAGAATCCGATTAAGGCTGAGGGGATTCGGGTTACCATTGGGGTGACAGTGACACCCCATGTTCATGCCAGAGCTCATGAGCAAGTGCTTGTGCCTTCTGTGGCCAAGATTTGGAAGCATAAGCCGGAGAAGCAGAGGAATAGAAAGGGAAAGTATGAGCTCTGTGTGTGCACAATGGTGTGGAACCAAGCTTCTTCACTTCGAGAATGGATTATGTACCATGCTTGGCTTGGAGTTGAGAGATGGTTTATATATGACAACAATAGTGATGATGGAATCAAGGATGTCATTGAAGAGCTTGAGCTAGAGGATTATAATGTTACTAGGCATCTATGGCCATGGATTAAGACTCAAGAAGCAGGTTTCTCGCACTGCGCTCTCAGAGCAAGAGATGAATGCAATTGGGTTTCTTTCATGGATGTTGATGAATTCTTCTACTTCCCATTTCCAACTCCTCGGCTTCAAAGAAAAAGGAAATTGGGGTTTCCAGGGCAGAATTCCCTTCGGAACTTGGTTGCAAATTTCTCATCATCAACAAGAGTTGCCGAGATCAGAACAGGCTGCCACAGCTTTGCGCCATCTGGGTTGAATTCACCACCCTCACAAGGAGTCACAGTAGGGTACACTTGTCGGCTTCAGAGTCCCGAGAGGCATAAATCAATTGTCCGCCCGGATGCTCTCGACATTACCCTTCTTAATGTGGTGCACCACTTTCATCTTAGTAAGGGTTTCAAGTACCTGAATTTGCCTCATAGCATAGCTGTGATAAACCACTACAAATATCAGGTGTGGGAGGTTTTCAGAGCAAAGTTTTTCAGAAGGGTTGCTACCTATGTTGTTGACTGGCAAGAGAGCCAAAATGAAGGATCAAGAGATAGAGCACCCGGGTTGGGGACAGAGGCCATTGAACCACCCAATTGGCGACTACAATTCTGTGAGATTTGGGACACTGGTCTGAGGGACTTTGTTCTAGCCAACTTGGCTGATCCTGAATCTGGGTCTCTGCCCTGGGAGAGGTCTCCTCTGTGACCTGTGAAACAAGGGCTAGTTGAAGCATGCCTGCCCATGTAAAACAGATCAATCACAGTTTTTCTTTCTTTCCATTCTTTCACCATTTTGTACCTGTTTTCCCTTTTTTTGTTAGACATGCAAGCGAAGAAATACCATAGATTAGATAGGGGGTTCTTAGATAGTTGTAATTTTGTGGCAACATAATATAATTTTTTTAATTCTTATGCAATTCAGTGCTTCATTTTGCTATTTTTGGTTTAATGATCAACATGCAAGTGGTTGTGGCATTTTTACGCGTTGCAAATAAGATAGCATGAATGCAGTCATATAAAACGATTCCAATGGTAATAGCACAGGAAGAAAGAAAAATTAAATGAGTCAAAGATTTCATAAATTGTTGTAAAGATGGCACAAACTCGCACATTTATAATCTGCATGTTTATTTATGTATTTTAAACATGCCATTATCACGGTTAGAGTCATAAAGAGGCAGTAAGGGAGCAGAAGGTTGATAAAAAATGAAATGAAAGGAAAGCATGGATATTATTATGTGCAATTTTTTGCATACAATTTCAGAATTATGAGAAGCAATGTCCGATTTTAACGTAGTTGATAAAACAAACATTGACTGTGTAGTCAATAACTCAAAAATATGTTAATTCACAAGGAAAAAACAAAGAAAACTAAAAACTGAGGAATTCAGAATTGCTACAGAATCTGGCAACAGTTACATAATTCAGAATTTTAATGAGCACATTGCCCTGGTATACCTTCCAATCCTCAGGCGTATGCAGCATTCAGGAATAATGTAAACGTCATATATCAGAATCACGTCATCGAAAAATCCTAGATTAGATGTCGCTGTAGATATGCCTGAACTGCATAATGCTCATGAATTTCTTTGATCTCTTCTTCTGCAGTATCACTAGCAGGACCAAAGAGGGGAAGGAACAAAAGACTGAAAAGAAACCAGGATCAGATTCAAGTAAAAATGCCAAATCCAGAAAAATGGAAAAACAAACCAGTCATAAGATGCATGTTTCCATTGTGATACAAAATACAGTTTAGGAGAAAAAAATTGTGATCCTAATCACATAAAATAGAAAGGAAGATTTATCTAAAACAGATGGGAGGACTTCAAGGAAGGTCAAGATGGCTTTCAGAAGCAGGAAAGCCGGAAATAATAGCTCGAATTAACATTTTATGATCTGACCACTAGAGTACAGTTCCACACTTTTCATCTGGTGACTGCTGTTGTTCATCACTAGTGTAGTGCAGGAATCATGTTACTGTTGGAAGCACGAAATATATAAACTAAAATCCCCATGATTTTGCAACTCGTGGATCGTAACTTCAAGGATGGCTGAACAGAATTCTTGCCAGTGACTATATCAGTGCTTTAATGTGTGAGTGCACTCTGAAGGTATTTGGAATGGCAAAGGAAAGTTCGTAATAGCAGGTATTTGAAATGGGAAAAGAAATCTCAGAACAGCATGAGTTAAATCTCATGACTTAACAACTGAAATAAAAGACCAGATCTTGACAATGCAAAGATGATCTATGTTTTTTGGGTTTCCTTCTTTACCAATGTTTAGATTCGTCACATCAGCATTAACCCAAACCTTAACAGACAGAGAAGCAGCCATTCTTAATATTTAGCCACCAAAATGCGGAGTTTTAACAGTGCATCACTCTTGGGAACTTGACACTACAACCCTGAAGGGCATATAATATACTAGGATAGTGGCAAGAAGTGTTATCATATCATTATGTGGACAAAGAAGTCAAGGATCCAAGTTAGCTTCTTTTTTTTTTTCCTGTTGTGTTTCCCTTCTTTTTTTCTTTTTGTACATCCTTATTCATCTTATCTTTTTGATTAATGGTTTAATATTTTATCTTTGACATGACAGAGTCCCTGTGCTGCGGTTTCCATCGTGTCTAGAGCGTGAAGTGGATTCAATTGGCAAACCTGTTTTGAGTGGCTTAACACAGTTAATATAAGACTTACAGAGTTCATTGAATTTTTTACGTCCTTATGTCAGCAAACAAACAAAAGATGGAATCTTTTTACTGACAAGAAAAACAAAAGAAACCAAAGATGGAATCATGGAACAACTCAGTTCTTTCCTTCCCTTCTACTCAGCATCCAAAAGAATATGTATGAGACTTGGTTCTATATCTCCTATTTTTTTCCTCCTTATCTTTGTCTTAACAAGTCACGTGGGAAAAGCATCAATTAAAAGAGAATTTGTGTTTGGCAAAGTGGTTGAGAAATGTTTTGTATGAGATAGGAATGAAAAGCGGAGAGGCAGGTTTCAAATGATAACATATGGTCATTGACAGGATACAGAATAAGACTCCTAGATAATAAAATGTAGTCACCAATAAGGTTTGCCCTGTTTCTCAAACAATGAAAAAGTTCATATGCATATAGGAATAGAACTATGGAAATCAGGAAAATATAGAATGAGTATAGAAGGCCGTTCATGGTAGTTCGCGTACTGAAACAAAAAAGTGGTAGAATTTTCCATATGCAAAAGGGATGAGGGAGCACAATGTAATAAATATGCTTTCTTTGCACAATCATATAGATGTAAAATATTATACCACTAAAATGGAATATAATATTACCTTGAATAAAACTTTCAAAGAATGCTATGCAAACCTAAGATTTCAAAGTTTGATTGTTTTCAACTTCTATATGACCTGCCAGAGTGATGTTATTCACATATTTTGTGAGTGTAGCATCCAACTTCTCTCCAATCAATGTAATCCATGCCTGCAGATTTAATGAAAATGAATTGCTACAGCATCGTCACTAAAAAATTTAATTCCATCATTAAAGTTCTCATTTTAACATTGGCCAAAAAGAAAACCTGGATCAACCTTTCATTCTCATGCAAACCCATACAAAAAATGCTGAAGCTTAAAGAATATCAGTTTTACAGATATTAAGAACAAAAGATGTCTTGTTCTCAGCGGGGATTTAATTTGGACCAGATTACTGTCTAGTTGGGGCCTGAGAATAGCCTAGATTGGCAGCAACAATGAACTTATGAAACTTATTAACAAATAACTTCAAAAAAAAAAAAGTGAAGTTTGTATACTTTGCAAAACCACAGTTTTGTGGTCAAGCATGAAAAATAAGCTTCAAGGTTACACGGAAAAAAACTATAAAAACAAAGGCATGAAGACTCGCATGGATGCTACAGTATCTCAATTCTAATCACCATGCACTAAAATTTGAAATCTAAGGAGGCACCTGGTCAGAAGTTGTGAAGCCCCTAATTGTGTCACCTCCAATTATTGCAATTCCTTTGTCTCCAAGTGGTTGCAGGATGACTGCCTAGTGAAGTACTATTCTATCAGCAATACTTTGACGAAGATTGAATTTGCATATATTGCAGGATTTTTATACCCATTTTGCCAAGAAAATGAAAAACACAGGTATACAAAGAAATTAAAGCACAAAAAAATGAAATGAGGGTTGCAATTGAATCTGCTATAAATATTGTAGTAGCAGGTTGAAATTCTTGATTTCTTTATCATTTTGCTTAGTGGATGTTCTTGATTATCATCTTTGGAATCATGAGCAGTGCTCTATAAAACAATGTCAAATTAATTTCCGATATTCTTCTTGATCAAAATCTTTTCAAATATTATTATTTTGCTATGATTTTGAGATATGACATGTTCTAAATTGATTACAAACACAAATATGTCCTATCAATTATATTTAATCAATGATTTCCACTAAAAGAGAAGCAAGTCAACTTATAGCATTTGAGAGAAAGTAAGCATTATTACCTGTGTATTTGAAGGCAGAAATGGCAGCTCAGACTTCCCAGGATAAAGGGACAAGTTGGCCAAGTAGCTCTCTAAAAGCATGGGTAAGAACTAGCAGTCAAATTTTCAGTTGTAGGATAAAAAATTCGCTGGAAATTTGTATGAAGATCATTCCATATTGCTTACGTGATCCAGATTTTAAAACACCACGGTAGAGTGATCCTTGGATTAATTTATTGACATCTACAACCACTGGTTCAACTTCATCAAAGGAAGAGGCAGCAGCAATTCCTATTTGGAGGATACAGATGCTATCATAAACAATAACCAGAGACCTGCAGCAACTTACGGCGGACATAGACTCCCACAGCCTGAGAAGATGCAGGAAAATCAAGCTTGGATCAGTGCAATCAGAATACTAATGTTCAAAACAAGTGTCATACCAAGATTTCAAACAAAAACTATGGTATATGATGTGGTTTAGTTTAGATACAAGATATCCCATTTAGAATAAAGACAAGTAATTTGTTTTTGGAAACATTCATGTGAAATATATTCATGCTATCATGAGCTCGCCTGACTGTGACAAATTAATCCTATCGTTTCTTCAATGACTCATATGAGATGAAGTGCGTACCATAGTAACTCGGAAACTACAAAATCAGGAAGGTGAGAATATATCCTTTGACACTTTACACCTTGGGGATTTACCTGAAACCAATATTTAAAACACAATGAAATCCCCTGAACTACAGATATGGCAAGTAGCCTACTGAACTAACAAGCTCAATGTGTGTGTGTGTGTGTTTGAGAGAGAGAGAGAGGGTTAAAACAATAAAGCAAATGAAGAGTCCTTACCACAGATATAGATTTTGGTCTGATGGACAGCCATACTAGACCAACTAGAATATTGGTCACAGCCAAACCAAGTGTCAATAGATCCGCTCTAGACTGAGCACTGCAAGATAAAAGACTTCAAATAGATGGAATCGAGTACCCCCAAAAAAAAAAAGTCCATTTACATTTTTTGTACAAGTCCAATGGATTTCTTTTAACCCTTCATAATCAAAACAAAGCAACTCAATTACTGTTCCAGCAATTGATAATTGACATCATCACACACTGTATTAGATCATGACAACCGTAATATATACCCTCAACAATGCATGAAGAAATCAATCCAACGATAGCTCTAAGATCAATATGTGTATCTCTTACACACATCCACAAAACAAGCAACAAATCATGATTTGCATCGTATGGACAGTCAATTCGCCAATTATAGCTGAAAGTAACCCTAATTCAGCATGTTAAAAATTAGGTGATTGCCATTGCTAATAAAAGAAGAGCAGACTCACCTGCTGGCATCGGCCACTGGAGCAATACCCGAAACAGAGCGATTGACGAGAACTGCCAACAGAGACGCACCTCCAACATAAATCGGCAAGCTCCGAACGGCGTCGTCGTTTCTGGATACCCAATCGGCCACCCATTCCCTCTTTGGCTTCGGCCCTTTGTAATCTCCCTTTAATTGTTCGCAAAAATGTCAAAGAGAGAAAAAATGCAAAGAAATACATACTCTCACACACACACACTAATGTATATAGATTTGGTGAGGGGTGTATATACCTGGGAAGTGGAAGAGGCCCTAATAAAGCGCGGGAAAGAGAAACGACGAAGGCTGTAAGGACGGTTAGGGTTTAACGGAATCGGACAGAGAAGAGTTCCCGCGTCCATAGAGAATTAGTTAGTTGGTTATCAAAATATCTCGAACTGGAAAAACAGACGAGTGTATAGATTGAGAAGGAATCAGGTACATTCATCACTATTATTAGTTTCATACAGTCGGTTACGAGCCACGTTGATCCATATTCTGTTTAATACCTTTTTTTTTAGGGGGAATTACACTTTGTTCCTTAAAAGATTTTATTTTATACCTTAAAGACCCTATATAAGTTTAAGAATTTATCACACAAAACATTATATAATTCCAATAAACTTTTTGTTTTTATGGTAAAAAAAAAAAAGTGTTGGGGCACCAGGGGTAAGGAAGAGCACTCAGAGATCACTTCAACAGGTCTTCACTAGTGAGATCATGAGGCCCATAATAGTGTTCGTTTCACCTCTTGTGTATGAACCTAACTAAGTTAGTATAACAATTAATCACAAAATCAAATGTGAACTCCAAAACTCAAATTTTCAACCTTAATGTGAGAAATTTAACTAGCATTCCACTAGACCACCCTACTTCGTGGTCAATAAACTTTTTAAACCAACGAGATCATCGTCTACAACCAAACTCTATGTGAAACCCAAGCATACATGAATGATACGTGGATAAAAAAAATTAGTAAAATATTGTTATAGTGCATGTTTTAATATACATGAAAAAAAAATTAAATTAAAGATTAAATTAATTTTTAGATTCAAAGTATTTACACAAATGTCATTGCATGACATTTCTTCCAAGCAGCTGCTTGGCAGCAGCAGGAGGCTCCATGTCTCTCTCCAACACTCTGGAAGGTTTGAGGAGGTGCTGAAGACTTCTTCCATTGCCTGGAATGAATAGATTTCGTTTGTAGAGAAAGAAACAGAGGAGAGAAGGTAGAAAATGAAAACCTTCGTTTGAATTTTTGAGTTTGCTTTGAAGGCTTATTCGAACATTCAAAGGTATACCTCTAGCCTAATTTGGATGCTAGGAATTCATTAGTGTTGTTAATTTTTGATTTGGGTAAATGGTTATGCTTGAATTTGAGTATTAAAGTTTCAAATTTTAGGTTTTTATAAAATGGATCTCGTAGAAAACAAGTCTTTCTTCTTCAATTGAGTCTTGGGTTGTGTTTTTGGGTTATTGTAGAGTTGTTTGGGTGTGGTTTTACAGGTTGTCGTGGTGTGTGGTGATGGGATGAAGAAACCCTTATGGGTTTGAATTTTTAAAATTTGATTTTTGATAAACTTTGATTAAGCTTTGAAATGAGGCTTGGGTCTAGCTAATTTGGAGTTAAGTAATCCATTTTCGTCATTGGAATTGGATTTAGAGGCCGTTTTGGGGCTGAAACAGGTAGTTGCAGGTCTGCCTTTGTGTTTAAAAAAAAATTTGTTGTCAACTTTGACCAATGATTTGATGATGTTAGAGTTAAATTCGAAGGTTGATTCTAAGGAAAATTGAAACTAGGTTGTCTAAAGAGTATGTGGGTGTTGAAATCTAAGGAAATAGTGTACTATAGCGGGAGAACTTTGAGGTCAAAGTGGAGTGACTAAACAGAAAATTCTGCACTTAGGGCAAAAGTCAAACTAATCAAAAGTTAAAGATGAAGTAGGGTGGGGGCCATCAGTGGACTCTAAAGGAAATTTTGGGCATGTCCGAACACCGATCAACCTCTAGTTCATCCAAAGTTCTATAATGTCCGTGCAGAGGTCCTAGCAAAATTTCAAGTAGATCCAACACCCGAATCAAAATGAGGATTAAAATGATTATTTTGGTCTCTAGAGTCAATTCGACCCAGTTTTTGGGTATTTTTGAAAAATAAATTTTATATTTATTCTTAGGTAGGTAAATTGAGTATGTGTATGAAATTTAATTGAAAAATAATATCAATTTTTTTTTGCTATTTCGGATCAAAAAGCATAGCATGGTAGGATTTCTCAATTCCGTATTAATCGAAGTTTTTAAATTTATTTTGAAATTGTGTCTTACATTATTTATGAATGTTTAGCATATTTTAAAACTTATGATTGAGCTTTTGAATTAGGTCTGGAAATCACAAATCCGAATTATAGTTTTGAGTACGGTAACACACAGTGGTCCAAAACGATGATTCTGATTGTATAAAATGAGATTGCGAAATCCTTTTAAACAAATTGTAAGTGCACATAGATTGAGTGACAAAAAGGGTTTACATTCTAGTTTAAGGTTATAAAGGGTACTCATTAAATCCATAAATGCTTGAGTGACTAATTGGTCTTCGGACTTGGATACTGAAATAAAATTGTGGTGAATACGAAACGTCAGGAAACATATTCATATGCATTTAATTTTATGAATTAAGTTGTTTTTTTGAGTCGATACTTATTTGTATTTGTGCATATGCAAATTGTTAGAGTCGGAGGCTACTACATCGGTTCTACCTAGGGATCGAGCATAAAACTAAGTGGTGTGTTGGTTGGTGGTGACAGGTGAAGTGTAATGCCTCATAATAATTGAAAATAAAAGTATATAACTACTATGAGTTATTTCACTATGTGCAATGAAGTTTTGATGACTTGATTTATGTTGAGTTGAGTAAATGATAGATCAAATATGTTTTGTTGAAAAACTTGTGATTTATTAAAAAGCTTGTGATTTATTAAAAAACTTATGATTTGAGTAGTATCTACTGTGTTAGAATTGTTGATATCTTGACATGACTTACATGTTGTTGATTTGGACACTACACAGTTGTCGTGAGACAGTTTGACATTGCTTAAATGTTGTAAATAACTTGACATTGCTTAAATTTTGTTGATAGCTTGACATTGTTTAAATGTTATTGTTGACTCATAACACATGTGAACTATTTATTATATTGTTATATTGACAGTCATTATAAGATTTCAAAGTGAGTTGAAAACATTTTGATTTTGACGTTCTCCTCAAATAGTGAACATATTTTGGTGGAATAATATTTGATCCATATTTTTTTAATATTTTTATTTATTATGATGCACAATACACTCAAGAAAATATTTATTTTTAGGAAGCTGAAGTTTAGAGTTGGGTCCACTACAGCACTAGCAGAGTCAAGATGAGATGTTAAGGAAACTGATTGTGCACATATTTGACTGGAGTATTCGTTTCCTTATTAATGTAACGGATGAATTCCCTAATTTTTTATGTTGTATTGAGTTACAGAGTTGTATACTATGTTATAGAGTTGTATGATTTATCTCTTTTATGAGATTAATGGTTAATATAATTGGTTTTAAATGATTCTTTGTAGTACAGACATAAGTATTACCACGTGTCGAGTTATACTTCTATCTCTAGAGTACCAAATAGGTCTCTCGGGATGGGATGTAACACCCTAGATCCATTTTTTATTAACACCATTCTTGACTCTTGCCTTGCATTTTCTCTTTTTAATTCTATACGTCCAAAGTAGTCACACTATTATATCGTTGTTGGACTTTAAGGTCACGAGATTAAATCTAATTATCATTTTTTCTATACCAAAAAAAAAAAATTCATTTTGGTCGGTGAGTGACTAAAAGCCAAGAAGCATATGTTAATGTGGGTCCTTATCAATCATATAATCATCTTTGTTATTAGTGACTAGCGTCCACTTAAATTAAAGGCATCTTCTCTGTCCACTTGGGAGGCATTGAGACCACCAAAGTTTGCATCAATGTTGTCCACATTCTCATGGGCAATGTAAATTAAAATAAGAAGCTACTTTCACTTGATTTACGAATGTCACCAATTGGATTAAATGGCCACGATACTTCAGGTGCATGAATCGTGTGATATTGTGTCTTCGTTTGATTGAATTTTGTCAAAATATGTTTAAGTCCGCATATAATATTGTAGGAGATTAATTCGTGCGTTCGGGATGTCCTTCCTCCATAGAAGAATTATGGCTGACTACCTCCTCCACGAATTGCCCAGGCTTATATGCAAGGGGGAGACGACTCTCTTCCGATGTGGGACTAACTCCCAATGGGCAGAGAGGTAAAAAAGCTACTGGCACAAAGCATAGGCTTACGCCAGGTCAACCATAATCCTTATGTGGAAAGAGGACATCCCGAACGCGCAAATTAATCCTCTACAAATATAATTGTTATTGTTTGTAGAAGGGAATCGTATCATGTATGATCAGTATGTTATCGGTTTCTGTTGTTCATTTCTTTGATTGTCTAACAAACCTCATTCCCATTGATCACCAATATTTGAGACGATTAAGACGAGATCTATTAATTTTGTATCAATTGAACGTCAGATTAGGTCTAAAATTATGGGACCTACTTATACTAACTTCATGTTGTTCAAATATTTTTGGTTTAACGGTCAAAGGTATTTAGGGCAATTTATGTACATTTCGACTAATTTTCTCCCTTGCTTGATCAAAGACAGGTCATTTATGTCGAAACTATGATATTTATGAAAAATAAATCATTCATGAATTGACCCTAAAAAATTATCAAGTTTCGAACTAAGAATATCAGAATTCACAGTTCGTCTCTATTACCTCTTCAATTAATCCTTAGAATTTTTTCAATATTTTATCGCCTTCCATAAAAATCCATATGGAAGTCATTATATTATAGAGATAAAAATAAGTTGTGTTATATCGAATTCATTAGGTACAAATTAGTATATAATCAAAGTGTCATTTTAGGCCTAAAATTTAAGCTATAATGCTCAAATAAATATACCTATACACCTCGTGACATGACAATGGCACTATTAAAGATTTTGGTACCATAACAAAATTTAAAATTATTTTAAGTATAAGTTTTTCCAATTTTAAAATTTATTATTTTTATGAATATTTTTATGTTTATATAATTATTTTTAAGTATTTTTATCATTATTATAATAATTATTTGTATTACTTTTCTTCGATACAGAAAAAAATTATCGTTTTTATTGGTGTTTTTATCACCATTTTTATAATTATTTTTAACATATTTTTTGGATACTATGTAAAAAAACTTACAACAATAATAAAAATACTTATAAAAATAATAACTATCGGTACGGAACCGAATTATTTTTTTCAAAACCGTAGTCAACTCTTTACGTTTTAAGTTACAAATTTTTTATGTACACAAACAAACTACAAGAATTATGACCGATTCTAAAATATTATGATAAATAAAAAAAATTTAAAAATTAAATTAAATATTTCAAATGTGAAATTAAAACTAATCACAAAATATTCATGATCGATCATAATATTTCATAATTAATTATAAATTTATCTAACTGTTATAATTTTATCTTTAAAAATATAACTTAGTTTTTTTTTAAATTATAATTTATTTTGGATACCTACAAATATGGACAAAATTGATGAGACACAGCACAACATGTGAAACACCTGCTTAGCCAAAAAACAATTCTTTTATTTTCTTTATTTTATGTCTTCTCGCTTATCATGGACCAATTCAAAACCCCCCGGGGGGGAAAAAAAATTTGGGTACGGATGAAAAACTTGAAAAAGTTATTATCGCGATATTTTAAGTTTAACTCATAATTTTTTTTTAATTTATTCAGTAAGCATATCTGATGATAATATTATCAATAAATTATGTCGTATCATTTCATGCTTTTAAGTTTTGCAAGTCATGTTAAATTAAATTTTTTTCAATTTATATTTGATTGATTTATAATTGTATATATTTGTGTATATATATTGCATTTGGACTGGTTAATATCGTGTAAACATAGATTTGTGCATGCACATATATTTAATGGGACTCTAAAGTCACCTGGTTATCGTCCAAATTTGTTCCATGTCGCCTTTTTGTCACTTTGTAAGTTGTATCTAAAATTGTATGGACTACTTATGAATTATTATACTCCCCAAAATTTATATTGTAGTAAAGGCAATTTTTCATTATGACCGATAAAAACAGAACAAATTGTGGGGATATTCCTTGAATTATAGCAAAATTATATTAAGATTTCGAATTGATGATAACAAATAGATTTTAGCTTTTAGATTTCATTCATATTTGTTCTTATTTTGATTTTTTCTAATGTTTGCCAAATACAAACAAATCATTTGTATATTAATGAAAAATAAAAAAATTTCGTATTATTTTTCAAATTTCAACAAATGGAACATCTTTTTAACACGTCTTGAAGTCTTACACAACCGAGACCCCATTTGTACAAACGTGATTTTTTATTTAAATCAAAAACTTTCACATCACTAATTTTGAAACTTGCGAGAGTATAAAACACATATAACCTCCAAGAAAAAAGCCCTAATATACCAATTAATAATTATTTTCTCTATGTACCTTTTTCAAAATCCTAAATACAATGTAAACTTTTATCAACTACTAATTATATATGTTTATGGATCAAAACTAAATTTTATATTTTTTTTTGTTCAACGGTCAAATGTGTTTGGGTCAACTTCTGTGTATCTCGATTAATCTCTTCCCTAATTCAATTAAAGACAAATAATTTAATTTATTGTGACTTTCAAATTGATATTAGGCCCATCAATTATTGAAACTTAGTGCGGATATAATGGTCGTTGATCAAGGATCTGAATTTACAATTTTCCACGCTTAGATTATCCTTTGGGTGGTACATATTTGTTTGTTTGTTTGTTTTCCACTTGCAAAAGACAATTCTTTTCTACTCTCTCGTGTTTATGTGGGCGTTGTCCACCTTTCACTAATTTTCTTCAACTGTGACAACCACGACTACTAAGGCGGCAATGTCTCCCACGTGTGGGAAAGATGGCCAATACTCACACGCATGCCCGGAGGCTAGTGGCGGCGCTGCCTCCGCCACCACTGGTAAAGGGTTTATGCTCTTCGGTGTTAGAGTCATGGAGATGGAGGGTTCATTCAGGAAGAGCGCTAGTATGACCAATCTGGCTCAGTACGATCATGAACAGCCTCAGGATTCCAACGTCGATGTCGCCGCTGGCTATGCTTCCGACGACGTCGTTCACACCTCTGCTAGATGCCCTGAACGCAAGAGAGGTACTTATAGATCGATTGATACCCACATAAGTGTGCGTGTGTGTGTATATGTTTGGAGAGAGAGAGAGAGAGAGCTTGAAATATGTGGAGTTTTAACTAGTTGATTTGTTTGATGGGTTTCGTAGGAGTGCCATGGACGGAGGAGGAGCATAAGCTGTTCTTGTTGGGGTTGCAGAAGGTAGGGAAAGGAGATTGGAGAGGGATTTCAAGGAACTTTGTGAAAACAAGAACGCCGACCCAGGTGGCAAGTCATGCTCAAAAGTACTTTCTCCGCCGGAACAACCACAATAGACGGCGCCGGAGATCTAGTCTGTTTGACATCACCACCGATATGGTAAATTAATACCTATAAAACTCATCTAAACACCATCCGGGACATATTCTAATTCAGCTCAAATTATAGTAATTATCTGTTGAGTTCTAGGGATATTCTGGAGTCTGGACAAATCGGGACACCCTTTAACAAAACTTTTTTTTCTTTAGTGATATAAATTTTCATCTTGTTCTATTTTTCTGCAATCTACAGTTTCTGAGTTCAGTTCTGGAAGATCAAGTTCACCAAGAAACCATCTCGCAACCACCACTGCAGCCGCCGCATCTAAGCAACAACATCCAAGTTGAAGGATTTCGTGTGTCAACTTTTCCGGAGACCCTCTCTGCGACAGTGTTGCCGGTTACAGGCGAGAACTCAATGGAGAGCCTCACACTAGGACAAAGCAATCAGGTAAAGAAATCACCCAACCCCATCAGGCCTATCCCTATTCTTCCTGTCCCTCCATCTTCAAAAATGGCAGATCTCAGTTTAAACCAGACACACACACCCACCACAGACCCTCTTCCTTTATCTCTAAATCTCTCCACAACACCATCATCGCCATCCGACCAGCAGTCACCGCCGGCGAAACATGGTTCAGCTTTTCAAGCCATGTCAGGCAGCTTTAACAGCAGTAGTAGTAATGGAGATAGCATCATCAGAGTTGCTTAATGGGTTTGTGTGTTGTAAAGGGTAAACGACTAAAAAAAGTGGGATTAGTTGGGTTGGATTAGACGTTAAGATTTGGTGATCAGCTGATTCCTTGTTGTACAGGTTAGAGAGATTTTATGAGAGATGGGTGCCATGATCATTGGTGGGGATTTTCTGTTTATTTTACGTTTGGTTCGTTTTGTATTATTGTGGTGCAAACAGCACCAGGTACAACAGACTACTCTCTGTTATTGGTCTCCTTTTGGTTGTTTCTAGTACCCTTCAAGTTGAAAAAAACAATTTCTCAAGTTGGATATGCTATTTATGAGATTTCCATTATGCTGATCTTTGTTATATGGTCAATAGATTTTGTGGCTAGTGGGGATAGATTGAGCTTTCTACTTGGTTGGTTGCCTTTATATATTAATCACTACAACATATATTTCAAAAGGAAAAATACTATTTAAACCTAATTTGAGACATAATGTAACGATGATTTTATGTTGTTATTGTCACATAGTATTATTAATTAATAATAAAATATTAAATAAATAAGATGAATTACACTTGATAGTTATCGATTTACATGAAAGAAGAACAATATAGTTATTGATTTATATAAATGAATAGTTATTGGTTTGTGTGGAGTCTATTTTCTTATTTGTTTACACATTATTAGTAGTGATACTATGTAAAAATACTCACGTTGCATTAAATGTTTTCTAATAATATAAGAGAAAATATTTATTGTAATGATTAAACCACGTTAGTATTGTCTCGTATTGTCACACTCCAATAATAACTCAACAAATAAAAAAAGTGGACCTCACTCATTCAAATAATTACCCCTTCATGTAAGATAGTAATCACCTCATGTAAAAGAATCGAGTCACCTTTGTTCACTTATTTATTTAGTATTAAAGGTTACACCACGTGACAATGTCGACGTGGTGTAATCGCGACACTAAATATTTACTCCTAATATAGGAATTTAATTTAACGCAATCATTAGATCGATGAGTTTTATCTAATATTAAAACTTGTAATTAATCTAACGGTTGCACTGAATTAAATCTCTGAATTAGTCCTCAAATTAGGTCCTATAACATAGCATTACTCTTTTTAAAGTTGTCCTGGTTTTCAACCCTATGTTTGGTAATTTCCCTTTTATTGATGTCATGCAGAAAAATGATTATGCATATTGATTTGAGTTATTTGTAATCAGTAATTATTAAAATAAAAAAAATAAGGTGAACAAAAATCATAGAGAATTTATAAATGTCATCTTGTGATTGGATTGGAACAAAATCTTGTGATTGGATAAAAAAAATAAGATCCGACACCTAAAAAATAGATTTTTTAGGGTAAATTTTCGATACAAAAACTAATCTATGTATCACTTGTAGTGGACCCCTCTAGTATTTAGACCTTATTACTAATAAAATGATGAGTGCATCAACTCTCAATAGTATTGTTATCATTGCTATTTTATCAACTTTCACACTTATTATTTGTTTTTATATCGTGTTTGTGATGATTGATATAATTCTTAAAAAAATTAATATTAAAATATAAATCTAAAATTCTATTATACTTAATCGAACTTACACAAATAGTTTTTTTTCTAAATTAGAAATTAATTTAACACATATAATAATAAAAAAGGCAAAAAAAATCATCTTACCGTACAAGGATTATGTCTGTACTTAATAAAAAAATAATTAAAATATAATATTTTATTCGTGTAATACTAATTAAACGTGTTAATTATATTAATTTCAAATAATTCGTATTTGAGATTTTTTATGCGTATATTTAGTCTATTGATTTTTAGATTAGCTTACAATTACCTAACACATTCCTTCGTCTCGACAGTATTTTTTAAAAAAGAATTTTAATTTTAACATGCTATTTTAATTTTTTTAAAAGTATTTAAGCCTAGGGAACTGGGCAGCAAGGCCTAAAGTCAGGCTTTCATCTCCCATATGTTCTCTATTTCAACTTGCTAAAATAGAGTATTCAATTTGATTCTCTGTATTTGGAGCATCAACCTTACTCTATACTTTATAATTAATTAATGAAAAAATGACACATGTGCATGTTGCATTAAATGTTATTCCCCATATTGGTTTTTTCTAATAATAAAATAGAGTCTTATTGGAGTTGTTAAAAAAATTTCACTCTATTTAAAAAAAAAACATTCTTTAAAATAAAAAGCACTATTGAAGTTGCTCTTATTCTCCAGTCGAAGGCACAACTAACTATTTATTGAAACCCAAGACTATCATTGTATGAAACAAAAATTTACCAGCAAAATAAAAAAAGATGGTCTAATCTATGAGACTCCCACCCATGCTCAGAAAACATTTTCTTCATTCCTTCTTGCTTCAATTTTACATTCAAAAACTTCAAGCTTGAATACAAATTTAATTTAAACTTCATGATACTACAGCACATTACAAGCCTATGTACTCAAACCACTTCTCTCAAAAGTTTCTTTAATCTTGCCAACTCCTTAAGTCAGGTCACGAGGAATTTATTCATCATGAATATCTTCTTGGTCCTTACGTACCGGAGAAGGGTTTAGTCGAGATGCGTAAGTTGACCCAACACCCCCCATCGAACCCAACAAAACAGAGTTTCTTGCTGACTCTAAACAAAGATGTAGTTTCTGTCATCTATATATGCCAATACTTGGTAGTTTATGTCGAAGACAACACTATAATTTGAAACTTTGAGCCTCTTTCATGACCATATTATACAAGAACAAAGCATCACCATACTACTTGGCTTGAGGAGGTGGGGGTGGCAAAATGAATGGCAATCCTTTGGATCCTTTCATTGAATCATACGGGTTCTTCTCATGAAACCTTCTGATATATTCAGAAACCTTTCCATTTGTACTTGCAGTGTTCAATTCATTCATGTTCCGTCATGAAACCTCTTGATATAATCAGAAAACCTGCTATCATTATTGTTAGTTCCACAGACCATGTAGGAAGATCTCTCTCCTTCATCTGATCCTGTCAAGTAGGTGAAAGATTTGGACCCGAGCTCTGGCTCTTGTAACCTCTGGCTTATACTCTGTTGAGACGATGGCAAAGCGTTTGAGGGTTGGACTGGAGCGTTTAGAACCGCGATGTTCCCTCAGGCACTCCACCATTTGATCCCAGATTCAAACCTGCAACATAAAAAGATGATAGTTTGATGATGTTAACCACCACCTGCATGGATTTCTCACACAAAGATTTCTTTCTGTTCCTGGCCTTACGGGTCATGGCAACTAACTAGCTAGCTTCAAGAGTTAAGAGCTAATTCTGATAACAACTTAAAGGAGCTGAGAGCATAGAAACTCTGAAAGTACAACAATTTATCGGTGGATATGGATTGTGAACCATTTAACCCTCCTCAAACCCCGTAATGAAGGGAGTCTTGTGCATTGGGTGAGCCTTTTGAACCATGCTTTGAAAAGGGATTTTGGAGTAGTCAAATTGTTCTGTGGGTTCTTGAGAGGTGGAAGGCTAAAGGCTTTGATTACAACATAACAATGCAAATTGTCTCTACATTATTCCACAAAGTAAGCCCTCTTTTGTTTTGCAGAGGCAAAATTGTCAAAAGGGAGGGATGAGAGGAATCTTTCTTTCAAAACTATCTGTAAATGGTATGAGGTGCCAAAGTTGAAGAAAAAACAGATAGTAGGAATTTCTTGTATTTCATATGGCGCAATGGTAAGATTGCTTCATTAAAATCTACACGTCACAATTTTAAAATGAAGAAATAACCTATTTTTATGCAAGGTAAGACTAATAAATCTGATTATTGTCAAAATCTTTAATAATGGGGTCTCAGCACACAAACTATTTGACGGGTACTTAATATCATCAAGACATCAACACTCACATACTAATAGTTATAATTTTTGAAAATCAAGTTATAATTTTTTAGGTTGTAAACTATAACGGCAAAGAACATGATTGATCACAAAGATGTTATGATTGATCATAGAAGTTATTACTTATAAAAGTCAAGTTACATAAATTTTTTGGATTACTGTAGTGCTATTATTAAGGGCTTGGGGCAATCATGTGAAAACTGTTGTAAAACATTTGATGATGATGAAGAGGTGGGTTTCTGTTTCAACTTTATGCCACTCTTTTATGAGTGAATATTCAGAAGAAAAAGGAGACTACTGATTCTGACTTTTCAGCCTCTTGAACTGTCTTTGTTGAAAAACAATTGCATGATTCGGAAATTAGATTGCATTCTACTTTATGAAACATGCCAGTTGATAACACAGGCTTTGGACAAGATTCTACTGGAGTGGTGCCTTTCTCTTTCTTTGATTTTTGCTCTCCCCACTAGCTAGTTACCTCCTTTGTCCAATCTAAGAGCAATCTTTTTGAACAATTTCTAATCAGAAGAACCCCCCCCCCCTCTCTCTCTCTCACACACACACACACACTCACTAGAAATTTTTGTAAAGCTGTCTCTCCCCAAAATTTATTCAATTCGGGAACTTGAAGTAGACAAAATTGAGAAGTACCAAAGACTTGATTGGATTACTAGCCAGTTTAAAATTTGGGATTTTTACACTTTATACCCTCAAAAATTAAAATTTTCACATTATACCTTCAATGTATCAAAAATGTTACAATATGACCCTTCTATTAGCTTTCCGTTATTTTTTTCTGGCTTCAAATTTGAGCACTCAGAAACGCTAGATGCTTACGTGTCATTCAAATGAAACTCACCCAATGTTCGATGGCGCTAGACTTTTTCAAAATTTTAAGGACAAATTATACTTTACACCCCGAAAGCATAGACTTTGTTCTATCCCATCGGGTACATGCACAACACACAAGCATTGTGAAGCTGAAAGTACCATTCATATAGCTTGGGTGATCTGAAGTTTGTTTTCCTTTGTGCAACATTGTATCTTCGGCATTGTGAATGGGGTGTATGCAACTCGGAATAAACGAATCAAACGTATGAACAGCTTCGTTACATGGCATTCATGTGATATCATTTATTGTTAGCCAGAGTAGAAAGAGGCTGGATGGTCCAATGCCTATGTCGATTAGAGTTTACATTTACAAACAAAAACCTTGCTACTACCACCTCAGAAAATTGTTTGAAATACCCGAGGAAATTAGCGTAGAAATAACTAAACCACCTAATAAACCTCTCATCAAATGTTTGAATATCCCGCAAAACGTAAACCCTTAGGACCACCACCCATAAATTTACCCTTTTGGGTAGAGAAGTGACTTTACACAAAATCTAACATTAATCCAATACGTAAGCAGAGAAATACTGTGCTGATCAACTGACACAGCTAGAATATACACAAAAAAAAAAAGTTTGGAATAATGTTGATCACCAACAATTCAAAAGGTGAATGGGAAAACCACAAGTAAAAGGAGAGGAAAAACGTCTCCAGTCCACATGTACAACCCCTTGGTTATACATAAATGATTCCCGTACTAATACGTAGTGGGTGATCTATATTTAAGGAAAAATTGATGAAAGATTTCTCGGGGGATGAATTTGGATCATACTACATGGATCTCATACAACACACCAACCAGATCACTAAACACAATTGCAGTGGCCCAAAACATTCCATGCACAACAACATAATTGTCAGGACAGTGAAAAAAACTACTTCAAAGTTAATTTTGTTCTACTTATGCCAACTAAAAACCTCATCCTTTCTTCCCTTCAATCAAAAAACTTACCTCACACGAGTCACACCTCTTGACAGAATCAGCAAAGCTTGTTCCGATAGAGAATCCAACTCTATTAATTTCTATCATTGGTCGCATTTTCAGTCACCATTCGTCAGGGAAAATGGAAAACTGACAAATCGACATCCATGCTGAAACCTGTTCTCTACAGTGAAATGAGAAATTACACAACACAATATACCATGCCTTGCTGCTTCCTCCTTTTCTGAAAAATATACAAAGACAAAGGACTTGGTGCCTTCCGTCAGTTCTTTGGCAAGTATTTTGCGCACAAAATCAAAGTCAGCAGCAACACAAACTCCAAACAAAGAATGATGTTGACTATTATCCTCAAACAACGAAACTCCTCTTTTAAAACACATCTACAGTGCACAAGGGCAAGCGAGGACTACAAACAGCCTGCAGGGGTATGTAGATCACAAAAAATAATCAGGAGTCTTGCGTGTGGTGTCAGGCTCAATCTGCCGAGGTGCTGGGTCAAACTGAAGGAAATTCTGCTCCATGTTCTCCCCGATTTCTAGTATTGCAGCCATGTTCCCACACCGATAACAGTAATTTGGAGCACTAAATACAGTCACCACATTCTTCTCCTAGAAAATGCATGAATGGGAATAAAAGATAATATAAGAAACAGATTGGTGAACAAAAAAAAAAAAAAAATCTTTTGATTACTCTATCTATGTTCACAAACCTGACACCAATTATAACCTTCCATGACAAGCTGGTGGGCTCTTGAAATCAGAGTTAGCCCATTGGTGTGGTTGAACTGAGTAGCAATATCCTGTCCGAAAGTATAGCCAGCTCCTCTTGGAGATATTCCCCACCCACATCGGTCATCTGGATCAGACCACAAGAGATCGCACATAGGTCCTTCATGTGGAACCTACCAACCCACAAACAAAGATGTCATACACTGGCTTCAACAAAATCACCTTAGGACATTCCACATACTATACAAAATTTCCAGAGAGAAAATATAAAAATCACCATTAGCTCACTCATCTGTAATCACTCCTAACATGAACAAGAATAACAGCCACTGAGCCTCCCAAATTTCATGCATGCGTTAATCCAAAAAGCAACTAGCAAATAGCAGAACTGAAAAAGTGATAGTTACAAAAATTCTTAGTGCAGTATCAGAATGTACTATTACAAGTAAAAAAGTTCTCCAGGCAATGCATGGCATCCCACAGTTTTTGGGATTTTACCATATATCAATCAAGTTTCAGCCCATGTTGGAGTATGTTATCTACGAAAGGGAGAAAGAAAAACGAAAAACAGAATAAAGAAACAAAAGAGAGAAAGAAATAAAAAGGCTTTGGCAACAACCAGAGAAAAGCCTTAGATTTATGACAGACACACATGACATCTCAAAGCATATGAACTTCAGGCATATGATTGCTCATTTACCTCCTGTATACGGTCCAAGGCTCGGATATTGTCTAGTGTATCCAAGGATGGTGAAAGTCCTCCATGCAAACAGAAGATCTGTAATGCAACAATATAAAGCACTTAACCGTTGTCCTGAGATTAATAGAAATAACATATCCATGCGCGTACAACTCAAACCTGACTCTCAATAAGTGCTGTAAGGGGCAGATAATCAAAAAGGTCGGTGAAATGCTTCCAGACATTGGCATTTCCATACTTCCGCAAGCATTCGTCATAAAACCATACCTGGGTTGAAAAACTGGAATATAAATAACAGCTATAAACAAATAAGAGATACTAACAAATACAAAGTTGCTAAAGCTCTAAGCTGCATGAACTAATTATATTCTCTTTCCAATTTACTTCGGGACATTTGAGCCAACCATCCAGCATCAGCCACATGAATCCTCCTCTCCCAAATTGACTCCGTCTAGATGCATATTTCCGCCTTTCTAATAGACCATCATCACGATTATAGCTTAAGCCAACAAAATTTTCAGCATTACAATTCAATATATATTCCTTGGGTTTATATCCTGTCTCTCAGCCAAGTCAAGTGATTGCACTCAATCATTGCACCCAACACCCTTGACTATGAGGGAGAAACAAAGAACCACTTGATCCGAGATAAGAGCAGCATCACACTGGTGTGCGCCTCATGGTTGATGTAATCCATACATGGCATGTATAAAAAAGCTTTCTAATTGAATTTTCTCTCATGCATTGTCCCGCTAGCAATTAGCTTTGTTTCAAATTTTGACCAAAAGACAATTTTCTTTCCTTTTCTCCTCAAGATCCCTCCAACCTCTCTTTCCTTGTATTGTTCATCATGTCCATCAAATGAACCATTATATTCAAATGAGTGGTCTACATGGCACAATTCATATTTTAGTGTTATTCGCGCTTCCACGTGTTGCCTAGTTCCTATGCAATTGTCTCATACAGAAAGTTTTATTAGACCAAAAGCACCCTGTCAAGTCAGAGTAATGGACCATCTAGTAGGAGGGCCAAAAACTAGAAGAACAGAAAGTAGAGGAAATGTTACAGATGCCCCTGAGAAAGGAAAGATACCTTTCTTTCCCTCTGTCTTGTGTTGTCTATGAAGGAAAGAATAAAAAAAAAAATATTGCTTGATTTTACCACTATATTTGTTATATATAAAGGGAATAGTACTTGTCTGAAGGGCAAAACAGTGAATGGAGTGACAGTCAATCTTCTTTCTTTTTTCTTCCTCCCATTTTAGGAAAAAAAATGTGACCAAAGGGACTATATATCCGTTTCTCTTCCTTTCTCTTCACTTTCTACCAAATGAAAAAATCCACCCATTCCTCCCCCTCTCCTTCCATCCAACTTTTCCTCTTATAAAATAGACAGCAAAAGTGTATTGGTTAGAGAGGAGAAGTAGAAGGAAGGAAGGTGGGAGGGAAACAAAATGGAGATTTTAGGTTCCATCTATATCTTATTAGGGAAACTAGATCTCTCTCTCTCTCTTCCCAACCATCATAAACCCATCAACTCCACCCTAGCCCCTCTCAGATAAAACCCCACCCCACAACCCTTGAGCCTTGAGAAAATCCCTGAAAGTCCTTTCTATCACAAAGCATAACAAGGACTCAATCTTCAACCACAAAATCCTCTCTGTTGAAGCCCCACTTTTGTTGCTTGTTGATATGCAGTCGGCAAGAACTTCTAGTTCCATAGGTGCTCCAACTCCAACAATAACCCAAGTGTGTGTTGTTTGTCCTCATTGTATCTATTCTATGTTCAGCGAGGTGTGAAATTGATATTTTTGTCAAATTTACTTTGTTAGTGAAAACATAGCATATATCACCCAGCCTGAAACTTGAAACTTAAAATTGAAATGCAATATACACTTGGGCAACTTGCCCTTTGACTACCACCTCATATTTTGATGGTGCTAATCCAAATTTCATAATCGCAATGGATCTCTTACAATTCAATGTAGACATTGAAGAGCTCATAACTGAGTTTGACCAAGTGCCGCATGAAAAGGAATAGTTATCTTGGTATTTTTTTTGGTTATTGTTATGTGTTATTATGTGAGTGTAATAGTTTTATATATTCCTTTAAGAAATATTATTGTAGTTCAAGTGGTTGGGTTTTCTCGACAAATCGACTAACATTGACCGAGATGAAGATATTATAGCTTTTCTAAAAAATTCTCCATTATCGTTCTTCAAGTTATCAATTTTTTGACGTTTTTGATTTTGATTTGACCCGTTTGGGTCTATTATGGTTTTTGTTTTCAAGTTTATAAATTATTTGATCTAGCCTGATTTATATTGGTTTAATTATGACTTTGGACTTACCAAAAAAAATTATGGCACTGGTGTAAATTTTTGGGCACATCTAAGAGTGTGGATTTGTGCATACACACAAGGCGCTGCTATATCTCATGAACACACACATCCACCCACACTCTTTTTCATGTGTAACTTTTGTTACGGCATAGTGCCTCCAGGCACGGGCCAGGCATTAGCTAGTTATATATAATTGCTTAACGAAATGTTTTCAACAAACATCATTAGAACCAATCTTACAAATATGGAAAAACACTCTACTACCACATTCTACAAGTAAAGAAACATTGCAGCAATATCCTGGCTGAAGTTTTTAGCATATTACACAATGCACTTTCATCCATATTTGTCTACTTTAAAAATGTCAACTTTTGGCAGCTAATTATTTGACTGTAGCTGGAAAGGAGAGGATAGCAAACAACTATTCTATTGTTGGTTTGGGGGTGCATAATTCAGTTTTCCTCAACATTAAAAGACAAAGGAGATGAATCCACTGAATAGAATCATCAGGTAGTGTTCCTCATTACACCATATAAGCCAATTTCCCTAGTAAAGATGAACATTATAATAAATTTAAACTCATAGACGCTACAAAAGTAAATGAACCTTTAAACTCCAACTAGTAACCTCAAGATGGGAAATACAATGAGTATGCATGGTTGCATGTCTAGCCCTGGCATAGGATGCAGGGCCAGGCATGGCACCAATTTACAATGAATTAGCCTGTTAAATTAGTTTGTCTCCCACAAAAGTTTAGAATAATAGAAACACATAGCTGTTGTGTGAGCACGCTCTCGTTTGGGGAAAAAGAAATGGGCAAATTGAAAAACACATAGCATGTGAATATAAGGGAATCTTGAATATATCAGATCAAAAAATTTGACAGAAGATAGGAAATTTTGCTAAAACTTCTATGAAGTTTCACATTACTTTCTTTTCTAACAACCTGCAGTATGAGAAACCCATGTCAAGATAGAAAAATAATTCTTCTTGAACTTTGACCCCCCCCCCCCCCCCCCCAAAAGTGTGGATTAGACTTGAAATAGTAAAGGTCTTACACTTGAGTGATTTGCCGACTCTCATGATTCCTCGAAGATTGTAATTCTATCTCTATACCGAACTTTCAGAGAGCACTAAAAGTGTGACCGTCTCCACTGAATAGTACCCACGATCTGCATTAATTGATTAATGCTTTTAAAAGATGCAAAAATATCTTCCAAAGTACAATTTCCAAACAAAACAAACCAGTGTATGAATATATCACTGTAAGAAAGGAAATCAAGTTGATCAGAGCAAGAAATTTGGCACAAGACTACCCTTTCACATGCACAAAAACTAGGCACACATCTCCCCTTTAACACGACATAATGACATTTTGTGTTTTT